TAATGATTTATAACCCAACTATTCTCAATTCCGAGGCAGTTTAAACAAAAATATATGGAACTGTTGTGTATACAATTATGTAATATTATGTTATCTATGATACAATTAACACTGGCACAGTAAAGAAAAATTATATGAATATCTTGTATATTTTTACTTAAAATATCCAAGTACATATTTTCTTACTTCATTCCTTTATGAATATATTAGCTAATCCTTATTTAAACTATGCGCAATCTATATAATTTATATTGATAGTTCTATACTCATAGGTATTTTATGAGAATGATTCCTTTCGAATAACATACTCAACGCTACCGCTATGTAAATATTATTCCAAAAACTTTTCAAGGCCCAAATATTTGTGGCGACTTTCGATAAATTATTTCCGGTAACCTCGAGAACGAGCATTGTTTTTATCATTTAACAAATAAATAGATTACCGTGTATTTTACAGAGTAGAATAATTGAGGTAATTTCTAAACGAGGTCACAATATTGTCACATAAACCAAATTGTAATAGTTTCAAAAATAAACTATAAATTATTAAACAACACAATTTAAGATTTCATATTTCAAAATAATAAATCGGCCACGACCAAATTAGTACTAGAATATTCAATATACAACCTGTTTTACATATAGCCGCGCCTACACACAAAAAATAGAATGAAACTGAAAAAGTGCTTGAAACAAATTTTCATTGCGGAAGGCTCTTCACTTGACTAGAAAGTCCTTACTCTTAGTATATTATAATTTAAAGCAAATTTCTTAGTGAGACATGAATTTTTTGCTTCCGTCTCTTTGTCAGTAAGGGTCGCGAATTCTGTAACCGTAGCATTTTTCGTGACAAAGGCAAATCTTTTGAGGCCATCCCACCTTTATCGGAACATTGAGTGTAAAAGGAACCCCATGGTCCATCTATCAAATTGATAATAAAAATGGAAAAAAATGTATTTCGGTATATCTAGCAGATATTTAATAGGTATATAAAATATACATTTTCACCCATTATTTTAAAGACTGCTTAATTAGAGACTTGGTGGCGCCGCACAGTGTCCTTGAGTATTTATGCACTAAGCCTCTACAATATACATGTATTATATACTAAATAACAAAACTATATTTTTTACATGTTCGTTTCTCTACTTCTTCCTTGAATCCAATGAGAAACAACTCGACAGATTTAAAAAATTCTTACACCTATACAAAAGTACATTATCAACTCATTCAATTAATCACAGGAGGCGCCGCGTGATAAAGTCTGTCTATAATATTCAGTTTAAAACACTAATTCTTTTTGGCCTACCCATGATCCGAACCGGACCCAGAATCTCATTCATATGCAGATATTTATTACATAGGTCCAAAAAGATATAGATAAATTTTAATACATTCATTTAATTAACATAACAGTTTCTATTAAGTGTAAAATGATAATAAATCAGTACATATTATTTGCTAACTTTAAAAATCCTTCATAAATCATAGTCAACTCGTGCGTACCTACTCGTACTGTTCCGGTTTCATATTTCAATGTTTTATAATCGTATTAATTATTAATATTCAATCTAAAAACTCCGTGGGAAACGGGACTCAGATTTTTAATATATAACAACACCCTAATCCATAGACATGGCATAACGGGTACTACGAGCGTTACACATTGTATTTTGGATGTCCGTAGTACTGTTCATAGCCATAAGCAATGGACACCGCTTTCCATTAGATGGGCCGAGGGTTTGTTTTCAGTTATAATGGGTCTTCTAAATTTAATTTGTGTGATAAAATTATTTTATCAATTACCAAAGTTAAAAATGTTAGAAAGACAAACAGACCAGCGCTGTCACGAGCGCTGATACTGATGATTGAATTTTTCCACATATTTTTTTTATATTCGCTTGCCAACTCAATGGCATAAAAACGTAGCAGGATATTTACTTTCCAATAATTTTAGCAAGAATGAGATTCGCCCACACACGGTACACCTACTATTTTTAACTTTTGGCTGGCGACACCGTTTGTTTACTGGTTTATCTAAAGTTCACGTAGTAAATCTAGTAAATATTGTTCACGTGTTGCGAAAATGTTTTACGAGAAAGCATTTTCATGAATTGTCCTATATGACAAATACGACGATTTTTAAGTAAATATGTTTATAACAGTAATTACAATACAATTTAGTTATTGAAGATATAATTTATTCCCTTTGTTGGATAGATTGCGTTTAATGAATTTTCTTGGCTTTGTCGAGTGGTAATGCAGAACTAAAGGAATAATTTTCAATTCCATTTCGGTCTCTGAATTTAAACAACTTGATAAAGCTATAGCTGAATAAGTAATGCACAGTATTCCAAATGGACCATCATCGATATTCATCACAGATCTATTGAATCAAATAGGGTATAATTGCGGACTATCGAGCAAAACTGAATAGTAAGTAGAGTTCTGAAACTTTTTATGTATCGTTTCGTTTTTTTTAATAAGTACTTCATACTTGTTTATACTATTTTATTCATTTAATATAAGAACGATCTAGTGATGGAGTCTTGTGTCGGAGAATTCAATTCATCAAAAATTATTGATAGTGGCTAGATCGTGCAGTTACGAAATATGTTTTTTATGCCTGCAGCTATTCTAATAGTCTAATATATGTAATATAAATATAATGTATATGTATGGGTTTTTATACCTTTAATTTGACAGTTCTATATTGACTTAAGCTGCGATTTGATACAGTAGAAGTTTTCGTAGGGCAATTTATGTTTCACTAAGAGGGCTTTATTATTAACTATTGTTTTAGCAGGTAAATCAAAAGAAGTCAGAGTTTCCGGTTTCGTAATGATGATGGTCAACTTGTAAAGGGGACACAATTATATGCATTTGACAGCTTGTGTTTCGGTTAAATGGTGTCATAAGACATTAAATTACAGAACAAGAAGATAACATCTTAGTCCTCTGGAATGACAATGCTTGAGCCCATGTGACTGTGACAACCATTATTATACCAATAATGGTTGTCACAGTCACATGGGCGTCCGTAGTGCTATTCATGTATAGGTATAGCTGACGGTCACCGTACCATAAGGTAAGCCATCAACTTGTTCGTCATTCCAATAACATAAAAAATGTATATCACAGATATTCTAAAAATAATAAAAGCAATCACACATAATGCTACTTATGCTTCCTTATTTTATTGTGCTCTAACATAAATTATGTAGGTGGATACAAAAGGTTTTCCGAATATAATTTAATAACAACTTCAGGAACCATTTAAATCTTACTATTATATTATTTACATATATCTACATTATATTTATATACCTAGGTACTTTCTTATTTGCTTTGAGCGTCATAAACTTGTAATAAATTTCTATATTATATTATACTGTTATATTATATTTAATCCAATGTTCAGTTCGTCAGCATGACAGGCGGCGAGCGTGGGCGCTTGGACAAGAGCCCGGGATGCCACGCCTCGAATCAATTCGAAAACAACAAAAAATAGCTTTCAGCAATAGTTTTCACGATGAACTTGAGTACTGTCAACCAAAAGTAATATAATCATTTCAATTTTAGAGATACACAAATTTTAACAGACTTTAATCGGGCGCATTTTTATTTAGTACTAGCCGTGCCCGCGATTTCCCCCGCGTGAAATTTATAGCCTATATGTTATTCTGATGTATAAGCTATATTATTGGAAAGTTTCATCAAAATCCGTTGACTAGTTTTTGCGTGAAAGAGTAACAAACATCCATCCATACTCACAAAATTTCGCGTTTAAATATTATGATCAGAATATCATTGGTACCAACATTACCAAATCCACTATATTCATTATTATTTTTGCAACTGATAACCTTTTTAGGGGCGATAATGGATCGGCATAACAGCCAGTGCTAACGGTTTACGCTGGCGGGGCATCAGTGGAAGATGATGATAACATGAGGTCAGGTCAGATAGCCCATTGTGGCCAATTTAACAAAAAATTATCACGATGATTTCCAAACGGAACCGCGTGGAGGTCAACCTGTACATTGCATGGACGAGTCATTATTCAATTACTAACAATTTCCGTCCCTTCTCGGAAGACTAAGTTATACCTCTTATCCTGTAATTTCACTCTTTAATCTAAACACGGCTTCAAAGCAATCTCCCTGATAGTCGAACTATATAGGTGGGATCAAATAAACCTTGTAACGATAATTAAAATACAACAAACAAAATATTTAGCCTAAAAGATGCGCCGTTTTAAAGTGATGGACGTATAAAATGTTTCTTTTTAGATATCTATACCTATTAGTATAAAATTAAATTTCATACAAGAACAATTTTTGTACACGTGAATTAAAAATATTTCTAAACGTGTGTACAAATGATATACCTTAAATTGATGTTTAATTGCATTCAAATCAGTAATTGTAATTTTTAGTATATTTTGTATGGTTACTACGCATTAATTTTCTGTCATAAATACAATTTATACCTAAAGATATAAAAGATAAAAGGCATGCTTAAAGTTATTTTATTAAAATAAGTAACCTTAAATTAATTATAGGTAACTCAAAAATGTTTATATATTAAAAGATTTTAAGGTCTGTTAAAAATAATAATATACCTACATTTATAATGTCGTCAAATAGTAAAGTATCGGTAGCCATATAAATATTTGATTTGATATAGGTGTAAAAGAAGTAAATATAGCATTACCTACCCACATGATTACAATTTCGTATTTTTATAATTTATTAAGATTTTCAATAACAAATTGTTTAGATAGTAAATGTGTGTATTTAAGTATAAAATCTATAAATCTATGCTTTAAAAATATATATATTTTGTTTATTCTATGAATATTAAATATTTTTTATTTATACTTATGCACATTTTTTATTGAAAATTACTCATAAATAAACATAAAATACACCAGGTAATTATATTTTTCGTAAATATTTACTAATTAATCAAAATAGAATACATATGAAACAGCTTACCGGCTACATTCATTAAGAATAATACGATGAAAATATAAACTGTGAACATTTTTGAAACCCACATAATCACACGAATATTCCCGATTTACTTTCAATTATCACTTTAAAAATATAACTAATACGCCACAATTATTTACACTTGATAAACAACGTGAAACAACATTGCATTATTTTATATCAAATAGATATAAAGTATTCCTTAATTTATTTATCGTCTGTAAATACGTAAAGAAGTTTATTAGAAACGAAACAACAGCTTCCATATATGACACAAACTCAACTGATGATAAATTTGGAATGAATGAACGTGAACTGAGTGTTTACTACGAAAGAGTGAACAAACTCATCTGTAGACCGAATGAAAAATTGCTAAAATACAGATTGGATAATATAATTCTCTGTTTCACTGATATTTATAAGTACTACGTATGCGTCCTACCACAAAAATATGGTACTAATACCAATCTTATCTTCCTAATATATTAATTCATTGAGTAAATTTTATTTCAAGTTGTTTTCTTCATTTCGGAACTTTCTTTACGTTATAATACAAAACGCTCTCTATCAGAAAAAATAGTAACTAATGGAATTGCGCTTCTCTAATGAATGTATTGAATGGATATGACCGATACGGGGGTGTTATTTATTTTCATTCCTTGGCTTATAGGTTATCTGTCATTGTCCAAAGTTTCTACTTATTTTCATGCCTTTTTATATGGTTATATCTCGGTATTTGTGATTTAAGGACAGTTTAAGTACAGTACAGTGGCTTACTGTAATTAAATTTCGCATGTTATAGTAGAAAATAAATATCTACTATTTCTTGAACAATGGCTACAAGGTTCATAAAAAATATATTAAACAGAACTCCTACTATTTTATTAAGAAGATGGAAAAATACTGAAAGACAAGTTACAGTATATGATCCATTTCAGAAAATAGAGAAGAATAAAGAATCCTACTTAGATGTTATAAAAATATTCGAAGGGCGAGACCAAAGGCGTCGAGGTCATGTGGAATTTATTTATGCAGCTTTATCTAGAATGGCAGAATTTGGTGTTCAAAAGGATTTAGAAGTATACAAAGCTCTTATCGAAGTCTTACCTAAAGGAAAATTTATACCGACAAATATATTCCAAGCTGAATTTATGCATTACCCAAAACAACAACAGTGTGCTGTAGACTTGCTGGAACAAATGGAAGATAATGGTATTATTTTATTTGGTTACAATAACAATATAACTTAGTTTTTTATGGATACTGTATAACTGGGTGCCAAAACATAGAATATAGTAGCATAGAACTACCTATTGCAGCAACCAAAATGAGTTTCAGTTGAAGGGTGAGTTAATGCAGACCTCTGAAATGGCAAAGGATGAGTGTACTACTTTGTGAGCAATGCCACATGATAAGATGTGTTTAATGCTATTCATGCATATAAGTGACAGGTATATTGGTATTACTTGCATCATAATGATAATAACAACACACAGCTGGTGCTGTGTCCATTGTATATTGTATATAGTCCCAAACTATGCAAAAATTGTATTATGAGTATACTGGTTAATGGTGATAGAAATATTTCAATACTTTATTTTTATTAATGTACAATCAAATTTATGAATACAAATGTTTGCATTGTATGAGGAATCAAACAAGCAAACATTGTAAGGAAGTTTGTATGATAATCTGTCAGACCACCAAGATCGTTAAGTATTTACCATTCAAATTACCTTAAAAAGCATCCCTTCTGAATAATTATAATTAAATTCATTACCTCCAATAGGTGTAATGCCAGATTCAGAAATGGAACAGATGTTATTGAATGTGTTTGGTCGCCGTGGGATACCTCTTAGAAAATTCTGGAGAATGTTGTACTGGATGCCAAAGTTCAAGAACCTCAGCCCATGGTATTTACCAGAACAATTACCAAATGACACCTTAGAATTAGCTAGACTTGCTATTGAAAGGATAACTTCTGTTGATCCTAGTACTAAAATTGAAATTTGGCAGGTGAAAACTTCATTATTACTTTTTAATTGTATTGCTAATTTATACAATTTATAATTTATCTTGTGATAGTTAGAATGCACTATAATTGTTGTTAATAGTAATCATTATGCACAGATCACTTGAAGTACACATATGCAGAAGTCAATATATATATTAAGTGAATCATTAATTTGTTTACCAATACAGTTACATAATATATTATTTTGTGGTTTCACACACATTAAATTTCAATAAAAAATTGTTGTGTAAAAATTGTGTTTTTAGAGTAATTTAACAATAATAAAAATCTTGCCAGACAGATGAGATAGAGGCATCAATTGATAAGACATGGATTGTAAGTGCCCAAAGTGAAGGTCAAAAAGCATTGCTGGCAGAGCAACCTGTTGATGATCCATTGATTGTGAAGGGGCCTTATACAGTCCACCTAAGGGAACAAACAGTAACATATTTTTTACTAATAGGAAAAATTAGGCCAGATATGAAAGATGACACGGATCCAGATGGTAAGTACCATTTATGCCACATTATACATAGGACAAAATATCACACAAATGCCAAACTAAGCATAATTAATAATGGGGTCTATTTACAACATTGATATTGTAATGTAGTAATATTTTTTATGAAACCTAACATTTATGCACTCCTTACAAAAATCATAAAATTTTACTGTGTGTGCACAAACTATGAATAGATGAATATATACAGATATATATTATAATAATAATGATTATTCTTACTTATCAATATTTGTATTATTTAAAAAGAAAACTGCAATAGTTTGAGCAATGTTACAATTGTTATTGTAAACCAACAACAAATAGCATCACTATTTGTGCTAAGCATTCAAATATGTATGGTATTCATAATTAAAAAATATATTATTTCAGATGTTTCTAATATAAGAAAACCTCCCGGTATACCTGGTTTTGTTGGAAGTACAAAACTTCCATCAGTGAAATGTACAGTACATGAACAGGATGATGGTACAATTGTTTCCGTTTGTGCAACAGGTAATCAAAATTACTTCATAGTTTCTAGAAATATAATAAATATTTTTATACCATTGTAAAATGTTATAAAATATATAAGAATAAATAAATTACATTGCACTTTAAGGAGAACGGAAGGGTGTCTAGTCATAGTGTGACAGTAGTGGGATGAGTCACAAGTTTTGTGACGTCTCATTATTAATAATGTGACATAATTAACATAATTATGTTAAATGGAAATAAAATTAATTTTGAAAGTACGAAAATATGTGACATCACAGTAGGCAGTGGGAGTTCCACAAACGCCACTATGACAAGGATGAGGGAAGTAAAAAATAATGAAAATCACATAATTTATGGCCCCCTAAATTACTTATGGGCCAGTGTCAGACCAGGACGATTCAGTGTGAAACCTGACTACCACTACTGCTAGTGGAATAAAATAAAAACAGAAATACATTGTTGCTGACATACTGACCATATAATTTTATACTTCATATTTACAATGTATTTCCTATTAAAAATTAATATATTTTTATATAACCAACACAGTCTAACAAAGAATTGTAATAGACAACAACTTATGTTGTTGTGAAAAGGAATTTCGCAAAATAATATCTAATTCGATAAAATATATGGATCCTTAAATGTATTTTGCAAATTACAGGTAGCTCGTCAAGAGACTCGCTATTGTCCTGGATACGATTATTAGAAAAAAATGGTAATCCATCCCTAACTAGCACACCCGTAATATTTACGTTAACTGCTCCATCAACTGACATCTCAATACAAGAACCTCCTCCAACTGCAGAAGATACGAGCAAAGATAAAAGGATAGAATCAAATTAATATATAAATTAATATTGTAAATTGTATAAATAATATTTAATTTTATTGTTTATGTAGTGTTAATAAATAGTTATTGTTATACACTAAATCTTTAACTGCCTTCAAGACAAATTTTGTACTATTTGTCTGTAAAAGTACCGCTTTCTTATTTTAGCACCCATACATAATAACTCCGTATAATTCACATAGCGTTAATTAGTCCAAAGTTAATCAGAGCTGGTGTTATGGGATATGATATACATGTATTTCGTAAATATATACTTGATATACAAAGAAACATCCAGACTGATACAATCATGATCATGAATATATGTATGCATCATTCGAGGAATCCAACCAGCGACCATCTGAAAATCCCTAGACCACTGAGGTCGTTCATTAGCATTCTATTTCAATATGTATTTTAAAGATATGTTAAATTCTCATGTGTGCTCATAGGCGGCGGTAATAACTTACCATCAGATGAGCCGCAAATTTGTTATTCCCCTATGCTATAAAAAAAACTCAGAATAGCGACAAAAGAGAGGTAAATACTTTCAGTTGGCTGACGAAGATCTAGCAGACATTGGAGTTCGTTAATATACTGCATTCTTAATCTAATTAAGTAGGTATATTATTGTCTATTTACCAATGCCTAAACTGAGAATAGAACTAAGGATCTATTTATCTCATTTATTTAGACAAAAATTCTACGTTCGGTAGATTGAGGAAATTATAAGTTGGAAAATCCACTATGAAATACTTTAAGTCTTAAGACTAATTTGTCTTGTGTTGTACTAAGTAATAGGTATAGGATATACGCAATAAATAGTATGGACGAATTCATGTTGATATTGATATAAGTATTTAATAATGACTACTGAATGTCGTGATAAAAAAAAACCTGTAATATATAATATATTCTATTTCATATCTACAATTTTGTTAGCTATATTACATTGATACGGTTATTATCGAGACCGTAATGTAGAATACATTATGATAGTCTAGAATGTTTTTTTTTATTTAATCCCATTTCAATTCATTCATTTTCAGTATTCTGCTCTTCTAAGAGAAGCTTGACTGGCTATTTTAATAGTCTCAAGTCTACACATTCACAGCGGCCCATATGAGAGGCTAAATACGTAAAATGATCATACATTACATTAAATAATTTCACAGTAATTTATAATTCTGTACACCACCCACTTTTTGCCCAGTATTCTGCTCATTGAAATATGGTGTTATTTATGTTTACCATAATGGCAACAGTTAATCAAATACTTAAGTCTGGGTTTAGTTGTGAATGTAATATTTGCTTTTTTCTTATGACTAATTCAGCCTTATTAAGCAGTGCACTTACTTTAATATGTATTTTATTTATATACAATTTGTATGTACAGTAACAAAACTTACATCTACAGGTATTATTAAAATATATAAGTACAAAGTGTAAGCAACAAATTGTGTACAGCAAAAACAGTTGACACAATTCTAAGTCAGACAATGGTAGACTTCAACAAGTAATGACATCACAGTGTGATTATATGCAGTGGCATGTTTTTAATCATTTAGAAGTCAAGTAATAATAATTAAACATGGCAGAAGGGCTTTCAGAATAGGATAAATTATAATTAAGAGGGATAAATTTCCATAAATATATATAATATATAATTATAGGGAATAAATTTCCACAGTATTCAGTTGAGCTCAGAATGTTTTTAACAAGGAGTTAAAAACATTCTGAGCTCTCAGTTTCAGTTTTGTACAATCTATAACTTACACCCAGTATAACATTAAAATATGGAACACAGATCACATTTTGGTGGTAGCATCATTTATAACTTAAGTCCATTCATAATCTTCATCAACCTCAAATGATATAGTACCCCACTGTCAGGTAATGTTGTGCCAATCAGCTTGTGGCAGAAGGTAAGTTTCATTGCAACTGCTAATTACTGTAACTCCTGCTCCATAGTAGGGGATCACATAAGCTGAACCATCTGATGGGCCTACTACCTGTAATTGAAGAATTAAAAATAAAACAGTGTATTCATATGAATAAAATATCTGTTTTACATCTTTAAGAATTATTTTTATAAACTAAAATTAGGCTCTTTACATAGTAATGAATAATCTAATGGAACAAGGAACTATGTTTTAAATATTTTTTGAGTTATATGAATTATCTTATAAATAACTTTGTTAACAGTTGGTATTCAAGTTTAAAAATATAATAAATGGGACACCTCTGGAATTTGGTTTTAAACTGTATGAAAAATATGTTCACTATTTTTAATGCAATCATACAAATCTTATTTACATTATTGGTGAATAATGTAAAAGATTAGTAATTAATACTTGTTGTTTTAAATAGAACTTTCAGGACAGATACTTTTGTGTCCTACTATTATTGTACTACAGTACTACATACCTGAGCAGCTATAAGTATAATATCCAATAATTGTCCAAGAAACATGAAGCCCAGTGTGCAAAGTTTAGCTAGCCCTATACCAGGATAGCCCAAATAGAATCTATCCAAACCGAACATCCCCAGAAACACTGATAACAGTAATGCAATCTCCAAAGAATATCCATTCCTGTAACAAAAAATATATGTATGAAGTGTGTAACGAGGAATACAATGTCTAAGATAACAAAAGTACAGTCATTCTGCAAACATAGAAGTTAATTAAAGAAACATGATTCTGATAAAAATATAGCTAATATGCTAAAATTATGTTCATGTATATGCACTTGTCTATACAGACAAGAGTCAAAATGTATGATAAACCATCTAATGGTATTTGTAAATATTATAATAAAATAATGTTAATAACTAATTAAACTTGGAAATACAAACACACACGCACACATACACACACATGCTCAATGCACTCCACGTTTAAACTCAAAACTAGATGTATAACTAATTTATATGAAGAGGAGACCTGGTGTCTAAGGTACAGGCTATGGCTTAATTTGGGCTCTAGATTTCCCACAAATTATATTTGTGATTTTTATTTGTTAGCATTTATATAATAAAACTGGAATTATGTAATTTGTGGAGATGAAAAAAAATATATTTAAATTTGGAAATATTGTTTTAGTGATAAGTTTTGATTCTCCCTTTGTTCTGAAAGAGATCACATAAATATTTTATACTCAAAGTATTACTATTAAATCTGCTTTTTATGAATGAGTTCGTTTAGGAGTACCCTAGTACAAAAAATATTATGTAAAATAAAACTTACGTCCATTTACATGGTAATTTCTTCTTAAATGTGGAACTTTTTGTATCTTGACAAATTATTCCATCTGCTGCAATGCACTGCACTGAAATTGTAAAATAATTGTAACAGTGAGTAATATTATTGGTATTGTCACAGATAATATAATATTACATAGTATTATATTTAGGGGTTAGTCAGTACTAATAAACCACTTCTATTTCCACGTCTCTGAAAAGTACTTTGTATTATATCTCATATCTAATATAACTCAGGATACAACAATTCACAACACCATTTGGATTAGCCGAGGATATGCCTGCTAGAGTATGTGTTATGGGAGAACACATACAGACAACTACAGATATATATACACAAGATACATATGCTTTATAAATACATACATATTTTGCATAGAAAATATCCAGATACAATAGGGTGTGAAGCACTGTGGTTAAATCCTAGTGAATTTCCCATTATGGAACTAACTTCATCCTCCACTGGTGCACCACCAACGTTTACTGTTAGTGTAGGCTGGTGTATTATATCATTATTACAGACAAAAAAACTATAAAAACCTACACTGCACCTACGCAGTAGTTCGGGAATATTTGGCAACTCATTATCCGTATAGCCTGTCTTTTATATGAGCACATAATATTACACCATGAATACATAATAAAATTACGTACCTAAAGCTTCTCCTTCGGAAGGTATAACATCTCCTTTCATGCAATCACGGTATTGTTGTGTGTTGGGATCAATTTGATCAATACTGGGATCTGGACAAATGTATTGCCCTAAGCGCAAAGTATTACAATCAACCTCTTCTACCAAGGAATCACTTTTTGATTCATCGGAACATTTTACAAATGAGTCCACAATAGTTAATAATAAAATAGCAAAATAAATAGGCGCAATCATGACGATGAACGACGATACGGTATATTTTATTTATGTGACGAATTGTGACGATGAAAATGAATGAATGAACATACTATTTGACATTGACAACTTTGTTTGATAAGTTTGACAACATCAACTAGAGATGTGCTAACTCGTAATAAACATACCTCAGTTAATTCGAGTTGAAGTTCAGGTAACTCGAGATGACTCGAGTTAGCTAGAATAAACAGTTTTTTTTGTTGTTTTTTTTAATTTTTCGAACAAATCTAATGTTTTTGGTCGCAGCTAGCCTTGAAAGGTTCACCGAACCATAGGGAGCGAGTAGAAATGGCACTTCAAAGCCGCGGAAGGACTTATAGAACGCATAATCATTTTAATGATAACATTGATTTAACATAACCGGACAAATATGCAAAAAACAACCTCAAATCAATTTTGAAGCATTTGTGACGAGTGAAAATTTGTATGATATGAAATGATCGGAAAATTTCATGTCATTCTCGGTTCGACGACAGAATTATGCTCTCGCTCTTTCACTTGATTCGTTCATTTACCAGTTGAATTCGTCCAACTCAAGTTGGCAGAATTCAAATCGAGTTAACTCGAATTCACCGCAACTCGAGTTAACTCGTGTTGACACATCTCTAACACCAAACAAACTTCCTATTTTCTGTTGAGGCCTTGTTTAATGAATCGCTTGATATTGACGTTGATACTTTAATTACAACCGTTTTTTAATATAAACAGACACTCCAATTTTATTTAGATATATGTACCTACATAGATATTATATCAAATTTTAAAAATGGCCACAGTTCCCTTACTTTCCGTAAAGGATTAGCAAGTAAGTAATAAGAACATAAAATGTGAATGCAACAGAGAACCGATTTAGGGATACAATAATTGTTATTTTTAAAATTGTAATACAATTATGTATTTCTACAAAACATTTGACAGATGGAGATGCAAAATAATAAGTATGTACTATTTCCAATTGCATTGTTAAATTTAAAATTGTAAATTTCAATCAGTTACAATTGACAATTGTTACTAAACATCGTTATGTAATTAAGGGCAGGTACCTACACACAAACTATGTACCTAATAATTATGTAACCACCTAGTATTCAAATCACTTCAATGGTAGGTAACTCATATTAATGTATAATATGAGTTACCTACCAGTTGCGATTTTTTTTTTTTTAATAGTTGCGATACCGATTAAAACTCCCTCTATTCATTTTTTAATATTCGGTAAGTACCTACAACGATAGCGGCAGTTTATCTCAGACCAATAAATGTTAAAATAATAAATAAATTAACTGTTAGCTCGGAACTTTTAAGCATAGGTATAATAACATTACATCTGTTTTCTTAATATTGTTAGGGTTCACATCGATATTGTCGAAAAATCTGATATTTTATATTAAAAGAAGGTAGTTTCATTATTACTCGGTATCGTTAAACTAGTTGCATATAACCCCCACTTATATCTCCTCTGTATAAAAGGAAGGGTTTTTGTAGGCCGCGGCATTCGGTCTTTGAGCACAGGATGTGTTGGCTGTATTTTAATTGCTAAAGTGAATTGTGTTAGCACAGATAACATAATATTACATACAGATACCCCATCCCATACAAGAAAATGGTTCCTTCCTAACTCGGGCTATTCTTCGGGCTATTTTATTTCGCCACCGTAGCCGCTAGATGTCGCTAGATCTGAAGCAGTTCGGATTACTAGTAGGTGCTTAGTAACAAAGCATGAAAATAGATGGCAGTCAATTCAGTCTACATGACATCTGTTTTGCAAAGATATGTATATAATAGATATGTAGGTAACTGTATCGTGTACCTCATTAGGGACGATTCAAGATTCAATGTAAATGTGTAGGTATAATATCGTTAGCCGACACTCTGCAGATATGGCTTATGTGCCAATGTATATACCTATTATGTTATGGTTTATTTTACATTCCATGCCTATTTTTTTCATATGTTGTAACGCGTCTGCGCTATACGTATAGCCTGATTTTGATACGTTTATACTCGTACGTATCAAAATCGGGCTATACGATTTTTTATTTCAATCATCGTTATATGTATGAGACTGATTTTAGCTACAATTAATTTACTGGTATATACCTCATGTATTCTACGATGTACCCCTCTTTTACCTAATGAGATTTCCGCTATATCTTATATATAAATTTTGTATCACAGTGTTAGTTGCCATATTTCTCCCACATTTTGATGAAATTTGATATGTATACTTGCCAGGTCTGAGGTAGGTGTTATAAACTCTTTAGTTTTAATAAAATATATGATGTGTAACTTGACGTAGATTGTCATCTATGAATTCAATAAACTGTTACTACTAACTATTAATCCTTATTTTAATTTATAAAATGTTGGCGACGAGGATATAAAATGGATAAAGAACAATTTGAACAGTTCCTGCAATTACAACGCACACAACATGATCAATTAACTGAAGTAATAAAACTTCTAGCTACAACAACTACGCAACATGCACATTGCCCCACGGAGACGCCTGTGGTGGCTTCGAACAGCCAGGATACGCCCTGCACACCTATTTCTAGCACATCAGGTATTCACAAATTATCAATATTGAATAATTTCAAATGTGAAAAATTTAACCCGTCAACGACTACGGTTGAAAATTTCTTCGATTACTTTGAAATAAAATGCGAAATATTAGACGACAACATAAACAACGGGGTTAAAAAAGACCTATTATTTAACTGTTTAACACCGGAAGTTTTCCATGAAATTAAAGTAGCACTTATACCTCATTTTGAATCGAGCACTTATGATGCTATTAAACAGAAATTAATGGACTTATACCGCACTAAGAAAACCAGATATCGAGCACTATCTGAATTCTGGAATTGTATACGACAGGATGATGAATCAATGGAACACTATGCAAATAGACTAAAAGAATTAAGCAAAGATTGTGGGTATAACGACACACTACTAGAACGACAACTTCGTGACCGCTTTGCTACTGGTCTTAACCACACACAACTTGAAATAGATTTAAAACAAAAATGGCCGGATCTCGTAGAAAACTTTCAGGACACAACAAAGGAAATAACATTTGCGCAAATATTTGCAGTCGCACAATCACGTGAGTTAGCGGAAGGGGATCAAAATAAAAAAATAATCGGCATTTACAACGTTAACAAAAAAAAGAATAATTATACTGGTCAAAAACAAAGACGACTAAGCCCTGGTCAATGTCGTCGTTGCGGAAAGAGAGAGAAACATGGAATAAATGAATGTCCAGCTAAAGATAACACTTGCAAAGAATGCAATTACAAAGGACATTTTGACAGCTGCTGTATAAAAACAGGTAGAGCATACTTAACCTACGAAAGTAAACAGGAACATAAAGGCAATAAAAGGTTACACAAAATTGAAAGAAGCTATTCCCCACGAAGCAACAGCTATACGTCAAGGAGCTCAGACCGTAGCGATGACGACACGGAGGATGAACATCATTCCGTGTATAAAATTCAAAATAAATGTGATAAAGACAGTAAAAAAATTGACGCTATGATCAACGGAAAGTCATGCACAATGGATTGGGACTCAGGATCTCTTTATTCTATCATCAGCGCCGACTTCTGGAAGCAGATAGGATCTCCTCCGTTAGGCGATGCACCGCGACTACGAGCTTATGGAAATTTAAAACTTAAATCACTGGGTTTGACAGACGTAACAGTAAAAATACAGGATAAAGAAAGGATTTTGCCAGTAATAGTTATGAAGAAAGCTGATCCTATGCTCTTTGGTCTACAATGGAGTGAAATCTTTGAAATGGAATTTCCCAAACCTGTCTATACAATACGTACACTACAACAACCTACGACCCTTAATCAAGTTTTAAATACGTACAAAACACTATTCGATGATCGTCTTGGCAAAGTAAAGAATTACGAAGTTAATATTCATATTAGGCCTGGTACACAGCCAAAACATCTCCCTCCAAGACCTGTTAAATTCTCTATGAAAAGAAATATTGAATCTGAATTGAAACGACTGGTAGACACTGGAATAGTAACTGAAGTCGATCCTAATATAACACCCGTTGAATGGGCAACACCCACAGTTAATGTCGTAAAGACAAATGGACAAGTTCGAATATGTGGTGATTATAGAAGCACTATTAATTCCGTTCTTATAACACATGCACATCCAATACCACTGTTTGATCAATTACGACAAAAATTAGCAGATGGTGAGAAATTTACCAAAATAGATTTAAAAGATGCCTATTTACAGTTTCCAATTGCAGCTGACTCAAAAAAATACCTTACCATTACAACTCATAAAGGATATTTCCAATATAATAGAATGCCGTTTGGAATCTCGACAGCTCCATCTATATTTCAACATTTTCTTGACAAACTACTTGATAATATTCCAAATGTTGCAGTATATTTTGATGATATCGCTATAACCGGTAAAAATGATTTGGATCACCTTAGAACACTATCAGTAGTACTTGGAAAGCTGGAACAAGCTGGTCTTAAAGTAAATTTAAAAAAATGTACTTTCTTTCAAAAAGAAATTGAATACCTTGGACACACTATAGACAAAAGTGGTATACGTCCTACGAAATCAAAATTAGAAGCTATTTTGAAAACACCGTCTCCGAGTAACCCACAAGAACTTAGATCTTTCTTAGGATTAGTTAATTTTTACGAACGTTTCATACCACATTTACATAGCATATGCGCAGATTTACATACCCTAACTGGAAATCGCCGTAAATGGCAGTGGACAGAAAAAGAAGATACAATATTTAGTAAAGCAAAAAAATTAATCACCCTTTCTAAACCTCTTGCTGCTTTTAATGAAAATTTGCCATTGTTTTTAGCTTGTGATGCATCTGAGAAAGGTGTTGGCGCTGTTTTGTATCATAAAACCAACGATACTGTACAACCAATTGCTTTTGCATCACGAAAACTTAAACAGGCAGAAGTTAAGTATTCAGTTATTGATAGAGAGGCACTTGCGATCTTCTTTGGTATTAAAAAATTTGATCAATATATACGCGGCGGGAAATTTACTTTAGTTACTGATCATAAACCTTTAATACATTTACTAGGGACTCGGCGTAACTTACCTAAGTTATGCAACAATCGACTAGTCCGTTGGGCTCTTTTGATCGGTAGTTACAACTATGATGTCACATATACAAAAGGCAAACTGAATGTCATGGCTGACTATCTATCGCGAATGCCTAATCCATATGAAAAACCATCGACTGCTGAAGAAATAGTTCGCAAAATAGTGACACGCCACCAATCAGACAAATTGCATGATCTACCTATATCCGAAGAAACTCTCAGAGGCGAAGTAAAAAAGATCCTATTTTGAAAAAGGTCACTGAATTCCTAAAGACTGGATGGCGTTTAGATGGTTTGTCAGAAGACTTGCGGCCATATTCACGAAAACGTTGTGAATTATCATTAGAAGATAAGATCCTGATGTGGCAAGGTCGAATCGTAGTTCCATATTCACTAAGAAGATCTATAATGAAATTCCTTCACAATGGACATCCGGGGATATCTGCCATGAAAGCACTGGCCCGTTTTTATGTGTGGTGGCCGTCAATCGATGATGACCTTGATATGTGGGTAAAGAGATGTTCTAAGTGCCAAGAAAATCGCCCTAACGTGGCGGAGCTGCCGGTGTACTCGTGGTCTGTGCCTGATGAGCCATGGGAGAGAGTTCACGTGGATTTTGCGGGTCCTTTTGAGGGCAAATATTGGTTGGTGCTATGTGACGCACTTTCCAAATGGATCGAAATTAAACCAATGTCTACAATCACAACAAGCAGGCTCTGCAGTGAACTAGATACTATTTTTACTTCACTTGGACTTCCACAAATTATAGTTTCGGACAATGGTCCTCAATTCGCATCTCAAGAATTTCATGAATACTGCAGATACAATGGTATCAGACACGTTAAGTCTTCACCTTACCATCCAAGAACGAACGGGTTGGCTGAACGGCTAGTTCGTACTTTCAAAACCAGGATGTCTGCTAGTATTAGTGACGGATTAAGTTTAAAAAAACGTTTGGAAAACTTTCTGTTTACTTACCGTATTACTCCTCGAATCGATACTGGTAAATCACCAGCAGAAATACTTTTAGGACGACAACTACGTTGCCTCTTAGACAATATTAAACCAAATCCTAGAATGTCCCTCCGCTTCAAACAATTTCAAGCTAACATTGAACATGACAAGGAAATATATTTCAATCCAGGAGAAACTGTTTTTGTACGCTCTCGAGACAATAAATCATGGAAGCCTGCCACAGTAGCCCGTCGTACACATCGTTATTCATATTTAATTAATACACCTATTGGGGTAAAGAAATACCATGCGGATCAAATAAGAAAACGTGTAATTGAATGAGAGGATGTTCCGTTAAGTCAGTCCTGTAATGCCCATACCCAAGATGTCCAGAATATGCAACACAATACACCAATATCTCCTCAAAGAGACAGGGAAATATCATTAGAGACTGCTCCTTTAGAGTTTAGAAACCAAATCGAGACTTTGGCTACTGCGTGTAATAATGAAACACCGAAACATTCGAGTGTATTAGCACCCAATTCAAATGACGTGGGTAGACATATTGAAAAACCAGCAGTTGAGGGGTTACGTCGTAGTAAGCGTGAAGTCAAGCCACCAAGACGTCTAATTACAGAACTGTCATAATTTGATGGACTCGCATGGTAACGAGTCTTTTGTTAGGGATGGACGAATGTTATAAACTCTTTAGTTTTAATAAAATATATGATGTGTAACTTGACGTAGATTGTCATCTATGAATTCAATAAACTGTTACTACTAACTATTAATCCTTATTTTAATTTATAAAAGTAGGGTTGTTATCTATTTTTTATACCCCTAAGTCATAGGGGTGGCCTACCCGAAAAAATATTTTTTTGTATTATGGACAATTTTTTATTTATTTATAATGTTACATTGAAAATACATACACGCCTAAATTTTCACCCGTCTTTCACCAACCCCTATTTTTAATAGCGATATTGTTACAAATATTATAAATGCTAAAGTAACTCAGTCTGTCTGTTTGTCTCGCTTTCACGCCAAAACTACTGAACTGATTTAATTGAAATTTGGTAGACAGATAATGTAGACCCTGAGAAAGGCTACTTGTTAATGCGAAAAAGTATTGAAAGGGGAAATGAAAGGCTATATGAGGATATCGTAATTTTTAAAGTCAGATCTTGTAAGATTAAGTGAACAGGGTCGGTCTAGGTTTTTCATTATTATAAATGTGTAACGGGGTAACACGTTATTTATTGCGAAATTGTGTATAATACAATAAAATTTAACGAGAAAATATTATAATGATGTCACTGGGACACTCATTGCCTTACTACTATATCGTCCGTTAAACACGAGAGGCGCGCTCCTATTGGTCGGTCGGCGCGGTTACCGCGCGTAGATGAGTAGATGACGTAGACGAGTCTCACCTATGTACCTACATAAAAAGTTCATTTTTGAAATGTATGAAATGTATGAAAGAAATGTATGTACCTACATTAAAATATAATTTTTGAAATGTATGCACCGTACAATAACAATACACGTTAAACATCATACCACAGAGTCATACGCAAGTTAAAAACAAACTGCTATGATATTAATGAGAAAGGAAAATCAACTTTATGGTATTCGAGTTAGGGTCGATTTCTCTCTTTTTTTTAAATACTATTTTAATCTTACCAGTTGCCAGTATTCGAAGACAGCTACGATTCGTACTCGATATTTTAAATTATTATGTAATCGATTTTTCAGTACAAATGTAAATAACCAACGACACTAATAATGTACTACTATATTCCGTTCTTTGAAACGGAACACTGCTATAATACAAAATAATGAAAATTTACTGTTCACAACGACTCATTAAAAGCATCATCGAATAATGCGCTGTAATAAAATCCTGTTATCGATTATTAAAAAAAATCGATAATACATGTATTTATTTTTAATATGACAACACTTCATACATAAGTATTATTGGAAATAGTATTACTTGCTTGTTCGGCTATTTTTAATTTACTTAAACTTTTTTTATATGTTTAATTTACAATAATAATATATTAAGTGCTTATTGTTGGAAAATATAAAAAAGACATTTAATTAGGCCGATACAAATGACGACAATGCCATCTATGAAAGCATTTTGAAAACATTGAGCCCCATATTAGCACTGATTAAAGTGTAATTAAGTACTGGAAAATAACAAAATGAGTAAATATATGAAAATTACTTTTCTAAACGCATTATTTAATTTTAACATGTATATATAACTTTTTAAAAATTGATTAAACATTTTTGAAAACACAGTTTTGTTTTTTAAAACGTTTGCAAAACTATGAAGAATTCCATCGATACCAATCACGCCATCTATATGCAACTTTTAGCAATAATAATGGCTACTTCCTCTTGAGTGTCACTGGTGTTAGAGACATAGTTAAATTAATGTTATATAGTTGTTATTTTATTATAAAACATACTTTTACTAGTACATAGAGTTGATATATCTAACAATATGATACTTCTTCATGTAAAATTTAATTACGTTCTGTTAGTCTTAAAATGACACACAGATCTACACACTTTTGCATTTATATAATATATTAGTGTGGATGGATATATAGACAGTATAACTATACTGTACTTAGCATGCATTTACATTTAGCTAGCTACCTTACATTTGAAATCAACGGGGTCATTCAGCAGATGTACTGTCTTCTATTTCAGCCGCCCAGTAACTTAAGCTTTATAAGCTGTATGCCAGCATGCTGCATGTAGTAGTGTGCCATTAGACAGTAAAATTAAAGGATAATGGCATGACATCTTATTACATATAGACATCTTATTCAATTCCATATTCTGTGGCGACCCATTTCATGTGTCGCGTTCATTATTTCATTTATCTCGCTGCGCCTCTGGACACAGAGGTGTAACGACAGTTTACACAATTCTGGAACAAATATTTTGGTGTAATCAGAACAATGTGCAAGTGAATTTTCAGTGGATTCCATCACACATAGGAATAAAAGGGAATGAGGAGGCAGATCGGTTGTCCAAATCAGCAGTCTGAAATGGCAGACCAACAGAGATAGCTCCTTATTATTCCAAAGTTATGCATAAATTCAAAAGAATTGTATTTGAGAAATGGAAAACCCATTTTGATAGTATATCTCATTCTAAGGGCATTTGGTACAAGACAATACAGAAAGAACCTTCCCGGGCTTGGTGCAATTATGTGAAGGGTACACGTTCTTACATTGTAAAAATGCATAGACTCCGTTCTGGACATTATCCATCGGCAAAGTTTGCATACCTGATGAAAAAAAGTAATTCAAAAAATTGTGAAGTATGTGGTACAATAGAGGATGTATATCATTTGCTGATGGAGTGTGTCAGGAACGAGAGTCTACGACATGGAATAACGTCAGACCATGAAATAAATATATTAGATGTTGGTGCCATACAAACTGTTTTAGCCGATCCTTCGGGCGGTGCGGTTAAGGCAATTTGTTCACTGGTGAGGTAATGCAGTGATTGGTTTTAGGGTACAATGGGACTGACATGCACTTAGATGGTACAAAAGACCCTAAATTAAAAAAAAAATATAAAAAAAATATGTTGCGTTGGTCAGATTTCTACTTACGATCTATCAGTCCTTTCTACATCGTGTTAGCTTCAATACATAAAGAACACTCGGTTGACTAATTTGTTACTTACATTTTATTCATTTAAAGCCATAGTGAGTCACGTGATGTTGGTGGCGTCACGATTATGCCGCCACCAATAGGAATAGAGATAAAGAGGCCGGGAACAAGGAGTGAGCGGGCTGCTCCCTCTTTGTTCGAGGCGACCGCGACGACCAGACGTGAATGTACAGCGACGCAATTTATGTGGAGTGTAATTTGAAGAAAGGAATAAACTAAATGTACTGCTGCATCGACGTATCATTTCTGAAACTTCCCAATAATCGGGTAGGAAATTACTAGACCACACCGCTATTAATTTCTAAAAAAAAATTTATTTAAGTAAATAGATTTATAATTTATGTGAGAAATTATGATCGAAGTATGACGGCAACTATAGGTCCATCACAAACGGATGTAGATACTCTATACATGTTTTTGTGATATACATTTTCTTCTTAACGATAACCACGCACTATGTTGCCATCGTTATACGCCAAACATATCTTCTTATTGTTAAATAATATAACAATAATAAAGGATCACTGATGAAATGATAAATAACGGTAACGGACAGAAGTAGTCCAGCATTTTTAAATCTTGTTGTTACTTATAAACCTGTCTCAGGGTTTTCAACTTAAGAACTTTGTAAGTATAGTATATTTAAGGAAAAACTGAACATTGAACTTACGTGAATGAAAACTTCGGTATGTTTTATTATTACTCAAATAAAAACGCGGAATACTATATCTACAAGCAACTTATTGTTCTAAAATTAACTGTCGTGTCAAGTGCCCCTGTCTCGATTATTTTGTAGTGGATAGTGTTGAGAGTCCTTTAGAGTACAGCTTCCCTCTCGACACGTCGCTTTTATATGACCCTTAAAATTTAATTGAAATGTTTATATTTCATTACATCAATAGATATAACTGTAGGTATTTCCATGCCTCGTAGGTTGGGCATTGCATATATTTAGATAGGAGTTACGTATAATAATATAATGTACTAGCAATATAATGAGTTCAATAGTATAGATATAGTCGTGGACTTTTTTTAGAACAATTCCGCCATAAAAATTTTGAATTGTTTACCCAGGGCTCTTTACTGCTCCTCTCCTATTGGTCGTAGCATGATATTATAAAGCCTACAGCACTCGGGGATAATATACCATTCTAAAATGAGATTATAAATTATAATACCGATTCTTATGTAAAATTATTTATTACAAATTATAATCGGCTTTTGGCCCCATTACCTGTAGTAGTAAAAATGATGAAATTTAAAAGTAGATTGGGTTGTATGGTCCAAGGATCTTTGCTTGTTCCGTCGTTGAAAAGGAGATAAAATATGGGTAATATCGGATTAGTAGAACCGGATATTACCTCTAATAAACAAACATACAAACTTAAACTCTTTATAATATACAGCAAATAGCAATATTATTATGGAAGTAGGTACTTGTTCAATGCGCATTCCATAATTTAGACAATTCCGAAAGGATTATAATGATTTTTTTTTTAATTCTTACAATGATTATTTTGCTAAGTGAATTAAATTAAACATTTTATTAAACGTCACTAGTAGTAGGATATATGGAAATATGCTCAATACATTTAGGTACAGCATTAACATTCCATAATTTGGTTGACGACTGAATGCAACTGCATCTATTGAATCTCCCGCTCGTTGTTCCTTGTACTTGTGTGAATCCATTTGTACTTATCTATAGATAGATATGATAAAAAAACCTTTCTTCTTCATTATTTATGTATTACTTGAGACTATGTGATCAGTATTTTCATATATTGGCAATCCTAAGGAATCGACACTCTATACTCTATACGAAGCTATGAAGTGTAAACGTAGACACATATAATGACGAGTGCTCTGATTTTATCGTATTTTAAATATTGTACTGTACCTAATGAAGCTCAACTTTTCGGCGGCTACGTTCGTGTTAGGAAAGTATTTTTAAAAGTTACATAAAACCTTCAACAATATAATCCATATCCCCGCGCTCGTTAGTGAAGTGTGAAACTTCCCCGATGAAGCTACCAAGTTTTGCAGTTCGAACATCCTCTCATTATACAGTCAGATAACTTGATAACAAACTGTGGGATGTCTTACAGTTGGCATCCGGACAGCGAGCAACTAATGAATCAACTTCGTAAAAGTTGATCGGCTCTACTTTTATCGAGTCTCGCTTGACGGTGCATCCACGGACATCGTCCAGATACTATGTGTAAATGTTACCGAGTGTTTTTAGGATCTTTACCGTTTTATATTACTGATAGGTATCATTTAGCTGAATATTTAATATTAACAGCTTGGGTAGATGAGTTATATAATATAATAATATATACAAAATTATGTGAGGAAATATGGCGTGATTGTAAAGCAAAATAGTTCTAGTAATTCTATGAACTACTTAGAAAGTATACTGTATCTGATTTATTAAAATCGAAAATTGAAAACTAGGGGTTGTGTAGGAGATTTAGTAATAAAGATCGATCTTCATACAGTCTTCCCTGAAAACTATCGTTATTATGATATATATGGAATACTTAAATTTAAAAATTATGTATATCGTGTAAATAAATAAAATTATCGATTTGTAACTTTCTTTATTTTAGAACATTGTAGGTAATTGTTGTATATGGTATTTAATATCTATTATATAAGGTAATTAATGTTTAGTATTTGACATAGTATGTAATACATTAGTTTTTAATCATAAATATGCATAACACCACGTGATTCACTTTTCAAATTGTTTATTCAACACATAATCATTCACAATATCCTGTTAGTGATCATATTTCGTCTTCATTGACCTATCCTTCCAAAACTGTCATCAGCCACGCCAACCAGTGAATGATGGAGATCTGTAAAAATATTTGAAGTTACAGTATATCGGCGACGTTGATGTAATACTGTAATAATGATCCGACATCCAAACCCTTGAATATTTATAAATGTTTCTTACTTGAAATAGAATGAAATTTAACGATTTGCGATATGTATAAGGTATAAGTCATCAAACTATTACTGTCTTTTAATGATGTAACGTTACAATTCTCATTTTTATAGGAAGAAATTAAGAAACATTTTAATTTTTGTAATTACCGTTGGATTTATTTGTAAACTTTTTCAAAATTGCAATAATTAAATAATCCGTATAATATACCGCAAAAGATTTTAATGCTTCAAATGAAAACTATTGAAGTAACCATCTATACAATGAACGGCAATTAAAGAATATAAATGTTGAGTTTAAATAATAGACAAATTAATCGCATGGAAAATATAACCATACATTCTGTTATAATAATAATAATAATGCGCTTAATTCCTGATGAATTTGTCCCCGTGGTGCCCCGCAAGCGTATATCGTTAGCAGATGGGGGTGCATCATTCCATTATCTTCCATTAAAAGAATCGTCAATGCATCAACAATGGTGATGGCACTAGAGCTCACGTAAATAGAGGATGGTAGCTACTTACCATCATGTGACCATAAAAAAATGGCAAAAATCCATTGTAATTTTAATGTTATGACTTACGTATTGAATGTAGGTTGCTGTTGTGGCTGTGGTGGTGATTGTTGAGCTAGGTTGCCAAATGTGAGGGTATTCTGAGTGGCTAAGCTTTCAAATGTCGCATTTGATTGAGTAGGGGAGCCGAAACCTGTACAAAGAGAAGAATTTCTTAGTATTCCGTGAATTTCCCTTGCGGGTGCCGGATCTTTAGCGTGGTAGAGAGAGAAACTCCCGAATAGTTCCCGAGACTCGTAACCCAAGTTTAAGGGGCCCCCTTGCCGACATACGTCAACACTCACATGTACCGCACGTGTCTCCCTGCCCTGCTTAATCTGATAGGATCCTGCTAATGCAGTTTTAAATTAAAGTACTAATATCATGTCCAATATAAAAAACTTTTTGCTGTATTTCAGGTTGAAGGGTAAAGAATGTCAATGAAATTACAGGGTACAGAGGCTAACTGCTGAAAGGGAACAGTTCTCAGGAATGGCAACATTATGTAATGCTGTTTATGTATTTGGGCGACAACTACCACTCTCTATTAGATTGGCTAATAGCTTATTAGCAATTGAAATTACATAAAAATCATTATTTTATTCACTGCAGATTATTTTATGTAGAAAAGTTTTATTTTATGTTTACATACCAGGACTAGGAGATGAGCCACCAAAGACTTTACCCGGTGAAGAACCTCCAAAGGCTGGTCCGCCAAAACCCGAGCCTCCTCCGAAAGAAGCGGGGGCACCAAAGCCGCCGCCACCCGGGCTCTTATTAAATCCAGCGAAAGAGCCAAACCCGCCGCCGCCCGCAGGGGAACTGAAACTCAAAAGGTTATAGAGAACGAATAGATGAGACTTACTTATATTATTTACTATATATTATTATGTATAGACAGATTTTAAGGCCTGACGTGGTAAAAATCGGACGTAAAATTGTACAAACAGTAATCCACATTCATTTAAGTAGTACAGTAATATTAGTTTTTGGACAATAGACATGGAATTTCTTAATTGTTTTAAGACTGTTTTAAACTTAAGATAGTATATATAATATTCTTACGCAGTTGTCTGTCCAAATACAGGTTTAGATCCAAAGACAGATGAACCGCCAAAAGCTGATGCTGTAACAACAGTAGTATACATTACATTGCTATATATAATCTGGGGTAAACATCGCGCAAGCTCCATATATCAATAAACGAGTAAGATATGAATCCATAAAGATATGTACTAACCGCCACTCTTAGAGACGTCTAATGTTTACTCAAGGAACTCACTAGTGCAGATTTGAACAACGTCCTAATGATTGATGTTGTTGTACAACGTCACATTATTTTGAATTAGATTTCTACCTTTAAGTTGTTATGAGTTGAATTTATAATACAAACGCTAATTATATTTTATTATAGTTACAGGTTTACCCCTGACATTGTAAAAATATACCCCCATATATATTAAACTGTCTCTTTTTACTATTTTTTGATAATTCTAATTTAAGCGCGAAATAACTAACGGAACTTTGATAGATAGAAATAGCCGTAAAAAAGAATATTAAAAATAGCTATATCGTATTGTAACATGCAACACCATCGCTTTATCGAATTATAATGGATAGCATGAATCATATTTTTAACTGTCGTATCCGCCATTAAAGGCGAATTTAGTTACTGAATAATTAAATTCTGGGAAGAACGCTCATTAACAGATTTAAAGATCCTTAAATAAACATCCATTACCAATAATATAATTTATGTAACGTCTTTGAGTGCGGATGAAGTCTGCTACCTGAAGATTGGATCATTTTAAACAATTGATTTTTATTATTCTGATAGATTTTTTTATACATCTATTCTACTTTGAGCAAACAAATGATGTCGTCGTTTTATATTACAACTAACAATAACCTGATTGCTGTTGTGGGGATCCAAAGGCGGAAGGTTTGCTTTCTCCGAAATTTGCGTTCTGTTGTGGACTGCCGAATGGTTGTCCAGCGCTTGCCGCACTGAAGTTGCCTCCTGGACTACCTCCGAATATCGATGATGCTTGAGTTGTAGCTTGCTGACCTGTACATTTATGCTATACAATAAGTTCATTTGCATAAAAAATAAGTTTCAGACATCGGTATATTCATTCACTTAAATATCATAGTAATCAACATCAAATCGGCCTCAAACATTTAGAATACTTGATTACCTACTATTATCAGCGAATTGAGATAAAAGTTCGTCTTGACACAATCTGATCTTTACATCTTTTTAGTTATTATTAAGATCCAGTTTAATAGCTGAACGCCGTTTAATCGTCAAAATATAACAAACGGACAGACATATTTGGTATTTATAATATTAATAATAATATGGAATCTTGTTTATAAAGGATAAATAAAATTGTAAACATATAAACAACAATCAAACGTATTAAACATACCGAAACCAGATCCAAAGCCTCCACCTCCACTTGTATTCCCTCCAGACCAGAAGTTATTAGTGGACGCCTTTTGCCCGAATGCGGCACTTCCTCCGAAAATAGATGATGCCGTTGATGTGTTGCTCTGATTGAGTGCTGGTTTGGCACCAAATATGTTTGTATTTCCACCAGCAAAAACAGATCCAGTTCTATATTAAGATTATTTAGATTAATATTTGTAAAATGAAACACACGTCTATAAACATTTGAACATTATCTTACCCCCCTCCAAATATATTTCCTCCGCTCGACTGTGATGGAGCAATTGTTGTTGATATACTTGCTGACGCAAATAAATTTGCTTCAGCGCCACCAAATAACGACCCGCCTGATACAGTAGTAGTTGGAGTACCTCCGAATACAGATGCTTGTGTTGTTTGTGTAGGGGTCCCAAATACAGATGCCTGTGTCGCTTGTGTAGGGGTACCAAATACAGATGCCTGTGTTGTTTGTGTAGGGGTACCAAATACAGATGTTTGTGTTGTCTGTGTAGGGGTTCCAAATATAGAAGCTTGAGTGGTTTGTGTAGGAGTTCCAAATACAGATGCTTGAGTTGTTTGTGTAGGGGTTCCAAATACAGATGCTTGTGTTGTCTGCGTAGGGGTACCGAATACAGAACTTTGAGTTGTTTGTTGAGTTCCAAATAATGAGGTCTGACTTGTTTGAATTGGGCTACTAAATATAGATGCCTGAGTAGTTGCAGTTGGTATACCAAATGCAGTAGATTGCGTAGAAACTGCACTAAATATTGACGATGGTGAAGTAGAACTAAATCCGGCAGAACTATTGGCCGCTGAATTTCCAAAGACAGATGCTTGAGTTGTAGTTGCAGGGGTATTGCTAAATAGAGAAGCTGATGTTGTGGTAATTGTATCAAATACTTTTGTAGTAGATGTTCCAAAAACAGATGTTGGACTAGAAGGTTGAGATGCAAAAACAGAGGTTGTTGATGTTGAAAATATTGAAGATTGAATAGTAGTCGTTGGTGCAAATACCGATGAAGGTGATTCAAGAGCAGTTTGCGTTGTTGTTGCTCCAAATACGGAAGATGGGGCAGCTACTGATGGTTTATCTGCAGCAATGGTAGTAGAAGTAAAAGCTGATTGTGTAGTAGCAGAACTGGCAGTAGTAGTTGTTACAGAACCAAAAATTGACGCTGTGTTTGTAGCCGAAAATACACTAGTCGGTGTGAGAGAAGTACTAAAAATTGACGTAGATTGTGTTGTAGGTGTTTTAGGCGTTGAAAATGGTGATTGCGAAGCTACCGCTGCGCTAAATATAGAAGATGCTGAAGTTGTGGATTTATCAGTTGATGATGTAATAGGACTGATATCTGACGTAGAAGTCACGGCTAGAGTAGAGTCTGGAGACCCTAATTTAGACATAGATGTTGGAAATATCGGTTGCGGTTTTGACACTGGAATAAAAATAACAAATTTAAAAAATAACAACATCTAACATTTTATGTAATAAATAATATTATAGATTAACGTACTAGTAGGTGTTGTGGCGTTAGCTGAAGAAAATAGGGATGAGGCGCCTGTAGTAGCAGTTAGATTTATTGATTCAGTATTTCCAATTGATTTAGGAATGTCTGTTTTATTTTCAATTTTACCTTCTGGTTTTAAAGTCTGGCCTGAAAAAGTAACAATTATTTGTTTAAAAATTAGGAAACAATACATTATAATGTGTTTTTAAATTAATACAAACCTGTAGATACCACTGGACTAGTGCTTATCACAGTTGGCTGTACATCGAAGATTGACGTTTTATTTATAGCTTGGGTTCCTAATGGTTTAAGTCCATTGTCACTTTTTACTGTAGTGTTTTGTGTCGGTGACACGTTTTCAATTGCTTTCTCTGCTGTAATTTGTTGTGTCAAAGGAGTAGTTGATTTTAAACCAAATAAATTTGTGAGTTTGTCTTCTTTTTTAACTTCTAATTTGGGCATTACTTCTGGTTCCCCTGTTTCAGATGAACTTGGTTTGAAAATTTGAGGTTTTAATTCTGGCATGAATGTTTGTGGTTGGAATTTACTGAACATGTTACTTATATCTGATATCGGTTTAGCTGTGAACACAGCAGATGGCGCCGATGTCATTTGAGATGGAGAACTACTATGCGAATATCCAGTAGATGCTGAAAATATATAGCATATTAAAACAATTTGAATGTTCGATTTCTAAAGATTAAGATATCTGAAATATTTAGCAAAAAATAAGTTCTGAATTTAAAGCGAATCTTGCAAAACTTACGTGTAAATGCAGTAGGTGAACATATTTTCTGTCCCATAAATGTATTGCCATCATTCTTGGTGTCCACATTTGCTTGAGATTTGCTTTGTAATAAATCTTTTAGTGCACTGCGCGTATTTGCCGAAGTGCCTGTAGGAGTAGCAAATGTAAAGGTTTGTTGCTTTGGCTTTAGAATTGGTTGAGGTTGTATTTGTAATGGCGGAAGTTGAGCTTGAGGTTTTGATGTTTCTAATTTCGGTTCTGAAATGAACGAGCATAATTTAAATATATATATTAGGAAAAGATTTTTTAAGAATACTTATTTTTATATCATATTAAAAATTGCTTTAAGTAAATCAACTTCTACTAAAGGCTGTCAGACATTGTTACAATGATTCTGCGATTTTTTACTCACCATCAGTAAATAAGGTTCTAGCTACATTAGACTGCGCAGGAGCTGGTACACTTGGCCTGAAGTTGTTTACGGGCGTAAATGATGGTATAGTTATAGGTGCCTGCTTTATGATATCTGGCTCCGATGTCTTCTCAGTTTTCACAATATTAGCGGTTGGTGCTTTGTGCGAATAAAAATAATAATTAGATAAACAATGACAATTAAATATATTAATCCATGCTAACAGATAAATTGATAAACATAAAATTAATAAACTGATATTTTCAAATATACTAAGTCCCAGTTTTAATATACTAGGTATATGTTACTGAGTAATTTAACTTGTCGTTTAAAATAGTAGTAATAAATGGAAGTGCATAACCGACTAAATAATAATAATGATTATTATTAAAGTCTGCAAACTTAAATTGGCGTGTACCCATTAAATTACAAAATTTGATAAAGATTTATGTACACAAGTAAGAGCATTAAATGTCTGTTAATTGGCTTAGCATGGGTTGATTGTATATATATGGGTTGTATGTATGCCTAATGTGTAATAAAATATGTAATATTCCATACCTATAATGGGTGGAGAAAATGTTTGTTGCAAGGCAGGTTCCGAATTTGCAACTTGAAGCTGGGGTTGATTTAATTTCTCTTTTGCACTCTTTTCATAACTGATCCTCATTGCCGCCAACTGTTGTCTCATATCCACACTCACTGGTTTTATCTTTACAGTTTTATGATTTGACAACATGTCTCTCAATGCGTCGAGTTTTTGCGCACTAAATATTGAGTCTTTGGATTTTGATGTTTGCGGTTCAATACTCATGTTTAAGATGTTCTTAGTTAGTTTCGATAAAGGATCTCTGTAATATACAGACATATTTAGGCGTAGCAATATAATTATTTGCTGATGAAGCTAGAATTCTGTTAAGTAGAGATAATTATGATACACAACTACATGTAGGGAAGACAGAAAATTAATTAGTTGAATAAAGAGAATACTTAATAATAATACAGTTTGTAGTGAATCTCCACAGGTCGCAGTTATACGGTGGGACCGTATGCCTCAATAAAAAGAGCACGGTTAGGCAGGCAAGAAAACTTTTTTAACTCAGTGCCCAATAATTTAAACACAATCACAATTGGAGAATTTTTTAATTCTAAAATGTCGATGATTGATGAACTATAATTACCAACACTTACTTATTTCTAAACGGGGTACTCCTCAATAAGGATGTGGACTTGAACACTGGCGTTACTTCACACTCCTTCAGTGTGTTTCTCAGCGTCCTTAGCATAGCTTGTTGGCGACACAGTATCTCTTGTTGCTTCACCAAAGGTTGATATACGTCATCCAATATTGGGCGTATCATGTATTGTCCAGGCCTATCACAGCAAAACGTAAGGTAGAAAAAATTACATGATTTTATTGATTTAATGATACATATTTTGTATAAAATATAAACAATAGTTGATTAAAGGCAGACCAGGGCCTATTTTGGAACTTCGAATTAAAAAAAGAATCACGAAAATGTCGACAAACTTTCTATGCCATTTAGAAAGTAGCGAAAAACAAAAATACAAATATGAAATTAAATTTTATAAAATATTTTTTTATTACTTATTCGATTTTAAATCCTTTGACAACACTTCACTCCATTTGTAGTCAAGCGCTTTGTGTGCTTGTTCCACTTGATTCTGCACATAGTAAGCTAATTTTTTTACTGATGCCACGCGCTTTGTAGTTAAAGGGTCAGCTTGTGTCCACTCGTGAGAGTCTTTTGATCTGTAAATTAAATAGACAGAATACTTTAAAAAAAAGTAAGAGTATGCTTTAAGCGATTAGGCCGCCTTTTGTTGGCATATTTTTATATTAAGTTCATTTTTGTAAATATTTGTTTTTTATGCACAATAAAAAGTATTACAATTATTATTATTAAATTCCCTTGTAAACGGCATCATGCGTGAACGACTGAACGAACGAACGAATTCTTTTTTATTCTGTTTGTTATTGTCAGGAGATTCTAAAGATATAAAACAATAAATTGCGCGGACCATTAGGAAAGTTAATATTGTATTGTTCTGTATGATGTACTCTATATTCTGTTTTTAGCCACAACAATATTCACGGCTACTATAGCACTTTTACAAAATACTTTTGTATATAATTTATTTTCCAATTCATGAGTGATTTATAATTTCACGGTTTAATAATTATTATATTATAAACAACCGAAAATTAGTACATTATACCTGTAAGAAGTGCAACATTATTCGTGTTATTGATGATTTGCAATTTCGTGATTACAAACTAAATCTTTATAATATTAATCTATATCTTTCTAACACGAAAGTTTGTAAATATGGATGTTTGTTACTCTTTCACGCAAAAACTACTGAACGGATTTTGATGAAACTTTACAGTAATATAGCTTATGCATCAGAATATTTGCAAATGCAATATTTTATATTGAAATTTAACGAGAGTGAAACCGTGGGCACAGTTAGTAAGATCATAATTTTATGGTAACACAATCTAAAATCGCCATACATTAATTCAAAATTTATATTACAAATTAGAATTCTGTAATAAGTAACAGACAATAATATGTATTCGCATTCAGGCAATAAGTTGGACAGCTATGTGAATTACAAGATTTATCATTTTATAATATTATATAACAATTTTATACATTTTAATTTCTATCCTTAAAATTAGCAATGCAACTGAATTAGAATTGCATTGCCAATTTTAAGGAGAAAAAATACATAGATAGTTCTATGGATTTAGCATAATATTGAATACTTACTCAGCATGAGTACGGGCCTCTGCTACTACGGCACATGCCTTCACTAATTCTAATTTAAGTTGTACAATGGCAGATCGTAGTTCATCTAAAGAACATTCTTTTTTTAGCTGCTCAGTGTCCATTGATTGTAGATTGAAGTTAGAGTTGATAGACTGTATATCACATTGCAACTATAACATAAACATATCCAATAAGGGAATATTACCACAGAAAACAAAGGTATGTTCTAAAAAGAGTGAATAAACAAACCTTGTAAAATAGTTTTATTTTTATTCAATTAACAAATTGTGACCTGTAAGCATAGATGCTCCAGAGTTCATGTAAATGATATTAGAATTGACTAAACTACTACAATGCAGAAAATTTCGTTGCTCATATCAATAAAAACAAAAAAAATCGAAGGTGATTTACAAAGCTAACTTACATACCAAGGTCGTAAGTTCGAAATTAGTCACACAAAAACTTTGATTGTCTTATTTCTTATGGTAATACCGATTACAAATCAAAGAAATTATCTTGAAATCTGAGAGATTACTGCCCCTCTACTATGTCTACCTCATTAGATTCAAGTATACCCAGCCAGTGAAATGTGAACATGTTAAATGTTGAATTCACCACGATGCGACGTCGAGACCGTCTATACCCCATCTCGTGTGAAATGCTTCTCACTACAGTATCTCGAAAAGTTGTAATGATATATTATTTATTATTTTAATTACCTTTGCTTGAGTTTCTCTCGTTTTCAGCATAAACTTATATAACTCCATTTGGAACTCATTGACTTCTCTGACGAGCATATTCTTCAGTTCTTGATTTGCTTTAATTTTATTTGCCTGCTCTTGTTCTGCTTTTAATGCTGCGCTGGCTTCTTGCGCCTTAGCTGACGGCTGTGGTTCCGATGGTGCGGGTGTGTGTTGCACCTTTGGTAGGAAAAGGTGAAAATGAAAGTAACTAAAGATGTATATTAAAGAAGTTTTCTTCGTTTTCGAAGTTCTGCGTTTCATATTATTATTGTACACTATTTATAATGCTAAATATATATTGCGATAAAATACATATTTAAGATGTACTAGTATAATACCAATCTTGCCAAAACCATTTGCAGAATTTTTGGTAACATCAAAATAGGGTTAGATACAATCAATAATAACAACATAGTCATAAAAAGAAATCAAACTAGATATTTTTTAAATTTAAGTGCATGGCTCTATCACTACTTTCCAATAAATTCTTCTGATGCTGAAATCATTTCGATGAATTTCTATAGAAAAGTATAAAATAAATTCAGAAATCAATATTTACCGGTGCTTGTGTTTGAGGTAAAATTGGCGGTGCTGGTTTGATGTCGACTGGTTTTTGGTCGATAATTTGTGGATTAGGCCCTGAAATTGTAATAAGTAAAGAATGTGATTAGAATATTTTATTGGCTTTAATTCGTTTTATGTAGCACCTACAAACCTGAACAATATCTGTGTATATATTAATACATACATGTTAAGAACTAGAAGCAAGAAATTTGACAGGAAGTATACACTAAATAAAGAAAAATATATTATGACAGAGTAGCCTACTACTCTCTAGAGAGAGAGAGAGTGTGAGTGAGAGAGATCTCACTCACACTCTCTATCTCTCCTACACACACACACATCGATATACAGTTTTTTTGTATTTATGTAAGTTGCTATGGACATAACACAGAACCTTAAAATATAAAATAATACGCGAAGGATTTATTAAATGTTTTTATTTCGATGTGAGGTTCGTGAAAATTAAATAGTTATATAAATAGTACCTGTAGAACTGATTTGGGTTACTTGTAGTGTTTGTAAAGTGGCAGTTTTCGCAGTACTGGTAGATCCAAACAAACTAGTAGAATGTGGCGGCATCGGAGTTGGTACGACTATGGGCTGGGCTACCGCTACTTGTAGTGGCTAAAAGCAAATATTATATAAAGACGTCTGTCACCTATCATCATAAATAATTCGAAATGACATGTATTTTATTTAGTTATTCCCATAATACTATCCATAGCTAGCTAGCATAACATAGCATAGCATAGCTATCATTGTTTTATTGGAATAACTGAGAATACCTTCACATTGCTTTAATTAGAATTCGAAATACATACCTAATTGTAAGTAAGTAAAATAGTGCATATTATTATATTATTTACTATACTTGACTCTATTCCTATTATCTATTTCTTTTTTTTTTTATAACACAGGGGACAAACGAGCTTGCGGCTCACCTGATGGTAAGTGATTACCGCCGCCCATGAGCACCCGCAACACCAAGGGAATTACAAGTACGTTGTCGGCCTTTTAAAAAGGAATAAGCCCTTTCCTTGAAGGTTTCAATATCGTATCGGTTCGGAAATACCATTGCTGGAAGGTGATTCCACAATGTGATTCGCAATATCCAGACTAACAGATAGGGCCTCCCCTTACCCTCAATAGCCTCTGCCCATCGATGTGTCAAATACACTAGAAGATCACCAGTTGACCGACCCTGGCGAAAGCCATACTGACGATCAGAAATCAACTGGTTCACTTCTAGGTATCGTAGGAGTTGACGGTTGACAATCGACTCCATGGTCTTTGAGAATAAGGAGGTGATGGCTATGGGCCTATAGTTAGCTGGATCTGAGCGATCTCCCTTCTTAGGGATCGGATGAACCAAAGCCGTCCTCCAAAGTTTCGGGACTACACCTGTAGAGTAGCAGTACCGGAAAAGACGCGTTAGTACCGAAGCCAACTCAGGTGTACAAGTCCTAAGCACAATAGCAGGAATACCGTCAGGCCCACTCGACTTGTGGATATCTAGGGAGAAAAGAGACCTACGTACCAGCTTTTGGGTAAATTTTACCTCTGGCATAAAAGTCTCACAGCGCGAGATGACCGGCGGTGATTGCTCCCTATCGTCCAGTGTCGAGTTGGATGCAAAAAGAGACCCAAGGAGATCGGCTAACGAGTTATCCTCTCTGCGCAGTGGTGGAAAAGATGGCTGACAGAAATTTCCCTGAGCAGCTTTGGCAAGAGACCAAAAAGCCCGGGATCTAGATGGAAGACTGTTCAGTCTCTTACCAATTCCGTTGATGTGCTCCGACTTTGCTGTGGTTATAACTCTTTTGAAGGACCTGGAAGCGGAGTTATACTTCCTTTTATGAGCTCTGGTATCTGGATCACTCGACTTCATAGCTGCAATCCAGGCACGGAAGCATTCCTGCTTATGGCGAGACGCCGATCTACAGGATCCGCCATACCAGAACTGAGATCTACCACCGACAGGTACCTGGGAATTTGGAATAAACATCTCCATTCCCTGAAGTACTACATCGGTGACAGATTCAGCTATTACATCAGGATCGTCCAGTGCGAAGCAAACTCGCCCCCATGGGTAAGACGCAAAAAAACTTCGCATCTCATCCCCATCTGCCGATTTAAAATGCCAAACACGACGTCCACCAGTAGATCGCGGCAAAGAAGGACGCGTGAGAGGGACTTCGCTCCGTATCAGACAATGATCAGAGGTTCCCAGTGGGGCTTCCACAGAGATCTGATATCCGTCCGGATGAGAACTCAGCAGAAGGTCCAACAATGAAGGTAGATGGTCAACAACATCAGGAATTCGTGTAGGCGAGGATACCAGTTGCGTCAAACCATACGCCAAAGCAAAGCCATGAACAGATCTCCCCGCATAGTCGGTGGTACGTGAACCGAGCCATTCAGCGTGATGGGCGTTAAAGGCCTAGAATCACGACCTCAGCGGAGGGAATCTGTTGGAGCAAAAAATCTGTAGCCATTTGGACGTATTCAATGAGTCGGTCAGTTTCGGTGTTACCGCTATGGGACCTGTACCTGTATCTATTCATGCTTATACAGGTATAAGCATGAATAGATGGGGTGGTCATCGCAATCTACACGCAATCATAAAATGGACAGGTCAGTACCTTCAAGTGTACCAAGACGGCGACAGCAAATATCCTCTCTGACATAAGCGCACACACCGGCCCGTGGAATAAAATAGTGTTCCAATTTATATCCAGGGTAAGGCAGGGCGTCTCCGTAAGGAAGAGCAAAGCCGGTCTCGCCGTCTCTAGGTGGTGGTGGACGACGTTGAGATTGGAATGAATTCCCCTGGTGTTGCTAAAACTGACTATGAGCAAGAGAAACGCCGATGGAGATTAGCTCGGTTTCCTTTTGGCCAAATTGAGCGGAGTATTGCTCATCCCAGAATACGCAGTGCAGCCTGAGTGTGATCTCTCAGGGGTGGATTCTCCAGTAACATGGTTACTGGTACCACCCTGGGGTAAAAATCTCTTGTATTCCGCTGCCATGGTATGTAAGAAAGGGGTGGGTAGGGGAAGGAAGTAGGAAAGGGATAGGGGGGAGGGGCGTACGGAACCTACAGCTCACCATGCGAAACGCGTAACGCTTAACGCCGGTTTTCTGCCGAGGTGTGGTATTTTCCGGTTCGAGAGGCCCAATCGAGCTGAACAACCACGTATGGTCGTACAGCTTGCTCTACTACTTAAAAATTTCTTCCAAATACCCAGGTATTTGTTTTATTAATGTTAACTTGGAATCCGACTATTGCGCAAAAGTTATGACATACTAGTGCCCACATGAAATTTATAGTCTGTGTTATTCTGATGTATAAGTTTATATTACTGTAAAGGTTCATCTAAATTCGTTTAATAGTTTCTGCATGAAAAAGTAACAAACATCAAACTGTCCATACTCAAAAAGTTCTGAGTATATAATATGAAGTAAGATTGTGGTTGTTTATATAGAGTGAGCGATTCAATATGTGAATAATGTTTGGGTTTAAAAGTAGCACTGCATTACTTACAGGTGGTTGTGCTACTGGTACTGGGGTTGGTACCACTGGCGGGGGTTGAACTTGAGGCGCTTCACCAGGTATAGACGCGGTCATTGCTGTAGCGGGCAACACGAGACCTTGAGGCGGTGTACATAACTGAACCGCTTGTCTGTTCAAATTGATAATGTTGAATATTGTTAGCAAACCAGTTTGCGAGACCACAAATAACAGTGGCATGTGTGGTAAGACTTCATTCTCTCCTGAAATAGAGTTGCAGTAATGTTATTAATGATTCATTATTCTTTTTAAGATTTTCTTATTTATATTATTTAAGTTTAGATTTTTCTTAAGAATTTTAATCCAAAAAAGATACATGAAAGTCCTATGTTTTTCTGAATTATGACGTTATTGTTTTAATGTAACATTAGAACGGTTTACACGTCATAAAAAAATTCTTAGTATTAGATGACATGCAAGTTCATACAAGAGGTATGAAGGTTAAAAATATTATTATTTGTCAGATAAAATATACAAACCCCATGGCAATTGATGTATAGCACAAGTATCAATGCATATTCCAACTGGATAGTTTTCAATCTTTTTATCCGTCAGAGGTAGTTCTGGCCTGGCTTCGTCTGACTGGAATATAAAGATTGAAAGTAATAAAAATGTACCATGAAGAATTGAATATTATGTAGTTAAGTAAAATTGATCACATTTCTAAATTTACTGCACCTATTTTTTTATTTACACGGCGACCACGGACAAATACACTTATCAATATATGTGGATACTAATATCTACATATATGTATACTTATGTCTATATAACATTGCATTCATTTCAAAATACCCACTCAACTTTAAAAACAATTTTATTCATTTAGTGATTAATCAGAATTTTGAAAGAAAAATTTCTAATTATTCTATTGAAAATAATAAATTAACATTTTACCTGACACCATTGCTGCCAATTAACACCATCTGCAGACCCTAATGTTGCTAATTCCATACTATTTGATGAGGAAGATAAAATAATATTCCTGAAATATCAAGACTAATTAAAATATATTTTTATACACAATTCACAATCAAGTTCATACATTCTGTTATACAAAAAAGAAAGACAAATTCTACCATTGTGGCTCATATGTTGAAAAACCCACAAATAATTATACAGTCAGAGAAAAAATCCTTCTTTTAATAGTCAGTTGGAAAGTAATTGTAATAGTCACATTTTCTGAAGACATAATAGACTTACCATTGTGGTAATCCTTGTAAGAAGTAGAACCAAGGTCTATTTGATCCCATACTATAGCAAATATCTTCATAATTGAGACATGACGGTTGGCCACCCTTTGGTGTATTAATTATAGTCACAGCTGTAAGGATAATTATTTAGAAAATATATATGATAATTGTAATTTAACACTTTACTGTCACTACGAATTTATTACACAAATTTATAAAGTGGCTATATGGCAAATGTTTAATGTTGATGTTATATTACAAATATTATCTGTACTTCGGAAAGAAGTTAATAAAAAAAGTGGTGCTATAAACAGGCCCAAAATTATTATATGATAGGATTTGCATGAGAAGACCTAAGGAATTGGTTTAGCGGTAAAGCGGTGAGCTTTACCGCTAAACCGTCTAGGCCTTCCTTTCCTTAGGTCTTCTCATGCCTTACTTCCGGTGAGACTATGATGTTGAGTGAGAGTATGACTGTTTTTATCGGTCTGAGTGTATTCTATGTTTGTATGTATGTATGTATGTATCTATATGTGGTAGGCATACTTAACAGTGTGCCTACCACATATACCACCTAACTATACTACTTACATTTGCTATGTGTAATTAAAATATAACCTATATCTATTATTTTGTTACCTGGCCGATTGTTTTGAACAGCATTTTTATAAACAACGGCAAATTGATATGTGGCTATCCAGTAAATAGCCAGAGCTTCGACTGGTGCTCCATCAAATAAATTTGGGGCTGGGACCATCTTGGCTGGTGTGAGATTAGGTTTGTACTGACAAAGAGCACCATCACTGTTGCCAGTGACCAGTTGTTTTCCTTTAGGACTCCAACATATGCATCTGAAATGAACATAGGTTAAAACTAATATCTTATTTATGGTACCAAAATAGTTACATACATTTTTACAAGATATAGCCAGCTTGCATTATTTTATAATGTTCCATGATGATGGAAAATGAAGTCAGATAGAAGCCAGTACATTAAACCATTCTATATGATCATAGAACCAATCTGAAAATATATCCATATAAATATAAACTAATATAAAGAGTTTGAATAGGTTTGAAATACTTACCTTGCGTTTGATTGCACTTTGTTAATTTGTCCTGTAGAAACCTGTACACCCAGCAGTGTGCCATCATAAAATGCTAAAGCAATGGAATCTGGGATACACGGGTTCCATTGTAGTGCACTTACACATGTGCTTGGGTTGACATCACATCTAATTGATGCTGCCACTGACACATTCTGGAATATTAATTTTAGGTGAGAATAATAATTCTACAGATGAGATTACAATAATATAATAATATATAAGCATGCAATAATTTATCTCAATTGATAGAGATGAAATGTTAATGATAGAGAAAAAAGTTACTGCAGAAATAATGTAAATACAAATATGATGTGTGAAATAAGTAATTTGTTCTAATTACTTTGTGGGATAGATAGCCAATTTATATTTTTAAATATAATGTGAATTATAATTTATACTTTTATATATTATTATTTATTTAAGTCTGAAAAAGTTACCCTCACTATTAATTTTGAATGCCATGTTCCCTACTATGAGATTAATAAATTAGCTACTATTATTCTTCCAAGTATAGAGATTGACCATCATTTACAATATTGTACATTCATTATTTATCTTTCATTGATTACATTCACAATAATTTAGCTTAACTGTAACTAAAATTAAAAATATAGATGTAATGGAAATATATAAGTATATACCATAAATAAATCAAAAGAAAATTGTGAATCACTAAGAAATAATGAAAAATATACCTGATTTTGAAAGTCAATAACTTTATAAATGTTTAATTGTTGCCCACCAGTAACTGCTAATAACTCTTGATCACAGCTGACAGCAATATGAGATGGTTTCTCTGCTAGGTTTACCGAGAAGTGTTGGGGCGAGTTCTCTTTGTCGATTAGTTGAGTAATTTGATATACTGCAGAGTGATAAGAATGATTTTAATTCATATGTATATATATGTACGTATATATAATTAGTCTTAAAATATAATTTAAGATATCTTGTCTCTGGATTGTAATAAATAGAAATTATTTATTACAATTTGAGTCATTTGAGTTTTTACTAAAATGTAACTAGACTTAGTACAATTAACACTATATACCAAGTGTAAGTATAGAACAATCAGTACCCAATCACATACTACTTTAGTAATTCATACACTGAAGAAATACATATAATATTACAGTACATGTTATATGTATGTATAACATGTACTGTAATATTCAGAATAAACATAATGATCATGAATACATATTTAGAATATTTATTGGCCAATATTATATTAAATTACTTAAAAGTTTATAAATATTATTATACATACCTGATAAAGTTGAATCAGGTGAAGCAACAAAAACTATACCATATTTACTACTACTTGTCACAAAATTATAGCCAGGGTTGGAAAGCGGGTCGTTGGTGTGAAAGACTTGTATTTTACGATGTAACTTGTAGAGCAGATTCTAAAACGAAAATGTAGTATGAAGTTAACCTCTTTGACTATATTTGGCTCCAAAAATATTTAAATCAATAAATAAGCGTTTTCATAATTAATGAAATAAATAAACTCATTAGCAGACAAATAAAAGAAATACATATATTATTATTCATATATAAATATCAAGTCATTTACCGGTTCATCTACAGAATTAGGTCCAAATTGAATATCCATGTTTTTAAATTCAAAAGTATAATCAATAATTCTTACATAAATAACAGGTAATTAAAATCTATGAATTAAAAATACTAATAATAATAATGGAGATATTATTTTTGGTAACAAAATTATTATATTCTTTGAAAAATTGACAAAGACAAAACTGGAATAATGTGACAACTATGTAAACTAGCCAATAGGATAGGAGTAATGCAAACTTTATGTTGGTGACAGTTTGAGGTGACAGTGATAATGTTTATGACAGTGACTTTTTTTTTTTTTTTTCTCTTGTGGTATGGCATTCACCCCGATTTTAGGGTACAAGATCAGTGACTTTAGGTAATTAATTTGTTTCGGTATTTTAGGGCAAAGATGGCGGGAGCGTGGGATGAGCTCTTTGCTGTAGTGGATTCCGGGGGGATTTCCGGATGGGGGGCCCATTGTGCAAAGAAGTTTTAACGCTTGGGGAGTGTGTGCTAATGTGTCGAATGTTTCTACATCGTATAAGGAACTTGGTGTACAGCATGCGAAACCGGGTAAACGCACTATCCAATGGAAGCACGAAAAGGCAATACAAAGTATTAAAATTCAAGAAAATGATAATGTTGTATATATATGTCATGTTTCCTATTTGTGTTTTAAGGCGTGATCAGCAGATCTTTTTCTTTATGTAATTTTTAATAAATTAAAATGTAGTATAAATTTTATGACTTTTATTTAAGAGGTATTATATTGTCTATTAAACACAATTTATTTCATTAAGCTAACATTCTTAGTTTCCGAGATATATAGGTTTTTTTAAGTGACCCGAATTCATTGCTCTCGAGTGTATATTGCGAGCTTTTCTGCCCGAGAGACTCCTTGGGGTCTGACATGGTTGGGGACGTGTCCCGCGCTCTCTTCAGCAACTATTGAGAGACTCAATAACATTTTCATTCATTTATTAAGAATCTCAAATATATTTTTTTTCACTTTACGATTACATTAACTGAATAATAAATTAAGAAGTATATATAAAATAAACTAAGAAAATTAAGAACCTCAAATCATGCAGACATGGTTGTATAGGCACTGTTTCCATAAACTTTCCGTTAAAGCATAAAAGAAAACTTGTTTCATGTAGACAGGCCATTGAGAAAAAATCATAAAAATACAAAAGAAATGAATGAGATAAAACCAATAAACAGTATAAAATAATAAAAAAATATTTTATTAATTAGAATTTGAACAGCACTAATTGGCACGCTGACATGTAAATAAATTTATGATGAATATCAATCGTGTGTTTCTCTTACATACATTTCGACTTAGATACACAATAAACAAAATTTTCTGCTACAAAGAGATAATCGAAAATTTTATAATGTAATTCATTCTTAATCTTATATGCCAATATTGTTGTAAGTATTAGCACAGATAATGTAATATTACATAGTATTAGTAATTTTGTCATTTTTATTTAATGCTTTTTGCAAGTTGAAAAAAATAATATACACATAGACGACGCGGACGTATTTATAAATCTCACGTTTTAAAAAATAAAATATACATTATACTATAACAACTTTTTAATATTCTTCAGGAAAATTTAGAAATTGTCTGATTAACCATAGATGAATCTCTTCGGGAAGGGGTAATTTTAGTAAATTGTAATAAAACATATATCTCCATGATTCCACAACATATAAGTTCTTCGGGTTTTCCTCAGTCAAGGCTTTCATAAACGTTTCTATAATTTTTTGGTCTCTTAATGTGTCGAAACCAGAATTGTTGGATGCTGCTCCTAGATAGTTACTTAACGCTTTAATTCTTGTGCCATAAAACACTTTTTGTTCTTCATTTAGTTGTTCAAACATTGCTTCACCATGAGATCTCTGGTTTAACATTATATTACTTGAACCAATAAAGCCACCTGAAAGAGTGTAAAAAAAAATGTTTAATTAGGTATTGTATATTTATGAGCACCGTGGCGCTATGTCTCCGTAGGTATACCTACGTTCCTTTCTTTTACAATGTTTTAAAAACTGCGTTATATTTAGATAGATAGTTTTGATGTTTATACAGTTAAAGGTGAAAAGGCACCTTTACGGTTTACTTTAATTGTCACAATCACCAAATAATACTTACAATAACGTATTTCTAATATGTTTAGAAATTGGGGACTGTAGTTACCTTTATAATAATATTTTGGATAATAAGTTTACCTGGAACAAATGCAACAGCTTTTAGACCATGTGATCGGTGTTCGAGTCGTAAAGATCTCGTCCAGGCTAGCAAACCAGCCTTGCTCGCACTATATACTCCAAATCCAGGGAGTGGATGCAAACCACAGTGACTTGCTACATTTATTATACGAGGTTTAGTTTCGCTCTGAAAAAAAAAAGCTTAATAGTTAGATTTTTATGTAACGGGAATGACAACCGACGTGACATATATATACAAAAGTCACGACCTCCAAATATTGGGGGTAAGTTCGTCGACAGAAGCCACCAACTTTTCAATAGCCGTGGAAGTGGTTTCTGCCTCGTGGATATCTAAACGGAAACGTTGAACCAGGTTGCTACACCAAGATCTATTCGTGCTGTAGAAATTACGAAAGCTGTTGTGCACTAATGTGCATTCATATCTTGGATATCGTACCTACTGTGAATGAGTTCTGGACGCATCGAAGTTGTCAATCAGACAGGGCTCTCGACAATCGACGCGGACACAATTTTAAATCTAACTAACTCGTACTACCAAGTACTATTAACGTCGTATTTTATTTTCGTATAGTACCTACCTAAATCTGTGGCATTTTCATATTTATAATAGTTTATTATAGAGAAAAGACGAAAATGTACTTATAATAACAATATTAAGTCATATTTTAAAGATCTAGTTGTCTCATTATTTTATTTCTATACTTCTATTGATAATCTTGTATAAAGATTCATTTCTATACTTTTTTCAGACAAAACTATACTTAAACTGTATCCGTCCAGAAAAACCTTTATCTGTAATCTTATTATTGTCTTTCTTGGGCAACCTTTGGATGAAGACCATTAATTCAAATCATACTTACTTTCAAAGCTATTTTCCTCAAATCTGGTAAGAATGCCGTTACTACCCTCATGGCGCCCATTAAATTCACGTTTATGGTATTTTCTATAATTTCTGGTGTTTGCCATTCATAGTTACCAATAGTCATTACACCGGCATTGTTCACAATTGCATGAAGTTCTGAATAAGATAAAGGGATTAAAATAATTAGAATAAATAATTGTTTCAAAGAAGATAACTTCTTCTTGACTAAAAAAATAAAATAATGAGTGTTGGATAAAATATATTTTAATTGAACATAGGAGCATAATAGAACACAGTGGAATTGAAATTTTTTTTATTCGGTTGGTACCGAATAATAATATGAACAATAATAATGTTGTTACATTATCAGATATAACGGTATCGGTGTAGCGGTTTAGCACATGACCGATGTGTGTGATGTGATGACCGCGCGTTCGATTCTTTATAATATATTTGTTTGTATTGATCAGGATGTTTTATTTTATATTTTACCAATATGTTATGTAGATATTTATAAAGAAAAGGTTTTTTAATTACTTCTATCAATTGTTTATTTCATGTTTAGCTTAGGACTAGATAACACTGTGTAATAAGAAATAAAACGAAATTATGTTACCATAACTTCATTTATAACGCCATTATAAATTTCATATATTATTTTATAGGTACAGCTTGATTTATTGGGCTTGGGCGTTTTATAATAACATGTAAGTAAGACTCATTTTCATTTCTACCATATGGTATCACTTTAAATAAAAGCATTATAGTAAAAAGTCTATGATCCCATATATGACAATGTAATGAGTGTATAGGTCAATACATACTGTTGTGAGGGTTATCTGCTAACAGCGACATGACATAATCTTTGAATTTGGAAACACTTTTTGAATTCGTGACATCCAGTGAAAATGGATGTGCATTTAACTTGGTCAATGCTTGAGCTGCTTTAGTATTAGTGCCGTTATACATTCCTGCCACGGTGACCAGACCTTCTCGAGCTAATCTTGCAGCTATTGCCCATCCTAGTCCACTGTCACATCCAGTAATGACTATAACTCGATTAGACATTTTTTATGTAACTATGAACAGACTGGCCCTGAAGATAATGCATGTTAAATATTAAAGGTAACAAAAAAATAGACAATAATAGCTTAGCAATAATAGTTTTAGGGACACGTTTTAGGATAAAAAAATAATACCTAATTCATAATTTTATGCGCTGTCAGGTCATCTTATATATAAAATTCTCGTGTCACAATGTTAGTTACCATACTCCTCCCAAAGGGCTTGATCGATTTTTATGAAATTTCATATGCATATTCAGTAGGTCTGAGAATCAGCTACTATCTATTTTTCACACCCCTATTCGACTTTAATTTATATTGACAAAACAGTGTTTGCGGGGTCAGCTAGTTTTATAATAAAATATTTCGTTGTTATATGTCATATTATATGAAAAGGTATCTGTATCTCTGTCTTGTCTGACTTTGTCACGACTAGTAAACCGCTTAATAAATGTCAATGTTATATAAAGACAGATTATAGGTATATGCTTTGTTTTATATTAAAAAAGAAAAAGGGATCGCGAGGCATAGCAAGTGTTATAAGATTTAAGTAAACTTTTAGATAAAGAGAAAGGTATTTGTATTTCTTTTTGAATACTACTAAACAAAAAGTATACCAAGAATGCTTACCTTAGCCAAAGAAAAGCCAATACACGTATAATAAAATAATAGAAATTAACACAAAGTCCATACAGGAGGAAGTTTAAACAGTAACTGGAGTCCATACGTTCTCGGACGACTTGAATATGAAACGAGTTTCGTATTTCGTTGCATATGTACAATGAATTTCATGTTTATATTGTCCCATAAGATCATGGTCAATAGCAAGAATCTCGAACAACAAATCTGCTAGTGCCTACATACATAGGTAATAGTCAGCTATAATAGCTACATAATATGTAGTTAGATATTTTAGAAGTCCTAAAATTGTTCTCGGATTCAATCAAGTAATAAACGCTAAAATTTTTTTTATTTATTTTAGTTTTTTTAATTATATCATTTTCATACTAATCGTCATTCGACTATTCAACAGGAGTACTTTATAATTAAAAAATAATATGAGTACCTACTTATAATTATTATTTCTATACTAATTAAATTATTAGACAACGTACCTATCTATTAATTTTTAGTAGTAAAATCTTTATTGATATTATGGTGGTTTTTTTAACACGACATTTGAGCGTGTTTGAACGCAATCTCACTTGATGTTAAGAATAGATAATGCAAATCGGTTGTTACGAAGGCTAGGAAACTCTATATGGGTGGATTCACTCTCTACTTCTTGTTGAACTGTGGTGGAACGGTGCTGGAGGTATGATTTTATGGAGTTCCTGAGCACATTTCCCATTTTTCACATCGAAACTGTATAAGTAAACGGCTGATCGGATCCAACAAAAAATTTATGAGAAGATAGCCATCACGAGAACTATATATAGCAAAGGATATATTTGCCCATTTTATACAGTTAACTATGAGATTGTAATTTTGATAGATTTTTTAAAAAGTTTAGTGCCTGTGTTGTTTTTCAGTAGTTTATATTTCCTAACAACTATTTTCAATCTGACTTTATTATCTGTTTCTAGTCTGTTATTCCATTCTGTTATCTTCTCATAAACATTGTTCTTTGTTGTTGTTACAGGTAACGAGCTAATTTCTAGGAGTATCGGTAAACATTAAAATTAGTCCGGCGATGGGATGAAAATGTCGAACACTTTAGCAAAGAGATGCCAATAAAAGAGGATCGTTTCGGCACGAATACCCATCTGAGAGATTAGACCTATTGGACGGAAACAATCTTGTATTTCTGGTTGACTTAATTCAGGATCCGATCTCTACTAAAGTGTTTCAATATAATACACCACAAATAATTAAACGGTTTTCGGTCTGGCAAACATTTTTCCTGTAGGTATTGTAGCTAGGATATCAGAAAAGAGAAATTTACTGGATTAGTGTAGGTATTGAAAAGATATATATTATAAAAAGTAAGGCATCTTCTTTCAATAATTCTGGACAATAGCTGTACTAAAATATTTTTATTATTATTTATTAAATACATATACCACCAAATACGGAACACCTAAATTGCTAACAAATTACATGTCATGTCTGTTTACAAAACATATACGGCCTGCATAAATAATATATTTTCAATCAAATGCTATAAAAAGAAGTGTTATGGACTCCGTGGTATGTAGCTGGCTACAAAAAAGTAATTTTATACTATAAACCGTATTATATTTTTTTTATGATTTTTAAAAAGCTTTTATAACAGAGTATTTTTTTAGAATAAGAGCGAAAGTGTAAAACGTAGTTATTATAGTAGTTAAATGAATTAACCAAAAAGTTTTATTTATTTTGTAGCTACTTCCAAATAAAGAGAAGAATAAAAAATATACTACAAAACGTATTTGTCCCAGCGGGGTGTCCGCTAATTGTGATGTGGCGTATATATTTACAGCCGAATCGTTTTTTATTTGTTGCATTGATTTTACATAAATTTACGCGGTCCGGTGGGGCGCCACGGTCCATACCTACATTGTGAATATAGATCGATATGTTTTTAAAATATAGTCATAGTCTGGTTTACGAGATTCAAATACGACCAAGAGTTAAAATCTGACCGAAACTAAAAAACTATATTAGTCAATTTATGTTTCTGACAGACTTGCTGGGGAAGAAAACAGAGATATAAAACCAAAAAAATATTCCGAAAGACAGCAAATATACTAAAGTTGAGAAATGTGGGCAAGTTGTTCACCTCTATATCGATAGTTGAGAATACCTCTGACTACACCATCTGCGATAACAGTTGTGACAGTACGTTTGTATATTTAGTGGGATCCGAATTTAGTAATAATAAGGACAAAGTAAATTTTATAGCCAGTAATCTACTTAAGCTTACTACGTTACCTGAATACGAATGAAACAATAAACGCAAACGTATCGCATAAATATAGAATTTTATCTCATTATTTATATGACACCGCATTTCTTTATTATGTTTGCATCGAAAAGAATATTTTGTGCTTTTTATGGCAGCATCCAATTTCCGACGCTTTATACGAATTGATTAGATTTTGATGTTTATGACCCTGTCTATAGGTAACATATTATACCTTTAGATAACATTAATAATTTAAATTTTCAAAAATGTTGAATATTAATTATGTAGTAAATTAATGTTTGGAAAATGACATTACATTAAGTAAATTTTGAAAGCTATTCTTTTAGTTTTTTAAGGAATCTAAATGCATACTAACATTTTATAAAGACGAAAGTATGTCTGTCTAACTGTACCTTAATAGATTTTCACAATGAAACGGCTGAATGAATGAAATGTAATATGAAAATAGACTGTATCACAAGGGCAGAAATAGGTTATCTTTTAACCCAGAACAAGCATAGCACATAATAATTACGAGTTATTGTATAATACACATATCACCCAAATTTTATAATTCTGGAAGATATATTAAGTATTAAGAAAATTATATTGTAATTAATCACAGAGGTGTGGTGTAATTCTAAAGATCCATGCCTAAGACCACATAGAAAAATGTGTTGCTTAAATTGATTTTGAAAATAGAACTTCATTATATCATCTCATCTTATCTGACACTGCGTTCTATTATCTATTGTATGCATAAAACAAATTTGAAATAGTAATTATTTCACATTTAATCTAGATAATCGAAATTCCGCAATATTCTATATAACTTAGCCTATTTTGTTTCTGTTAACTATAGTATAGAAACACGTCTGGCAGACAAGTTGAAACGTCGTTTGTGGGTTTCAGTGTAACGAGCGTACAAGTGGTCCCAAGTGGAGTGAAGGTTGAGAGCATGAGAACCTAAATGGAAAAGAATGCTTGCAGAAACACTATTACTAGTTTATTCTTACGTAAATATAAATAGTGTATTACATTGTAAACAATATAAAACAATTGAATAATTCAGTACACAATAGTGTGCTCACTGCTCACCAACAATGTAAAGGTGTAAAATAGACATTCTAGTTTTTGTCAAATATAATTATGCAATTTTCTTTACAATATAATGAAATTAATTGAGTATTTAAATTAGCGGTTAGCAGTAGTTCAAAACGATATTTCTCGACTATCGGAATCTGCGACTGCGTATTTACTACAATCAATCATCCATCATCTTTACATACATAGAAAAGGTATATAAATGTAATTGATGTATTTGTATGAAGATTTATATATTCTGTTATATTTGTGAACTTGTATACAATATAAAATATGGTTTTTACTTGTCGAGATTAAAATGCCGCGGTACCCGTTTCCAGCAAAATTAATCTCGTAGTAGATGTATGCTGCAAATATACATAATATGTACATAAAACCTGTAATTTTGTAGTAACAGGAAATTTATAAATAAATATTACAGTAATAATAAAATGAAATTATCGTGGGATCTGTCTAGGAGAGTTCAATTACGTCCGAACTTTTTCCGTCTTAAAACAATCAATATGATTTTTGTATATATATGATATGCATATGTATTTGCAATTTATTTTACCACGCCCATCAACTCCGAAACCTTTGTCCTTACTGTCACATCTATTTAGGAAAAAATCCGTTCACGCATCGTGCAGCGAATAGCGGTCATTCGTCCGACACTTTTAAGGAGAAGGGCACTCTTGGGAAATCTGCACTCCCTCTGATAATAGTGTTTACTCATTTAAGTGTACTCCAACCTCCTGCCGGATTGTGTTGCTTTGTATATGGTAAGAAGAGAGTGGTTTCAAGTGCTTCCGTTGCGTCAACGTTGCAGCTAATAGTTATGCAGTCAATTAAAATTAAACGATTGAGTTCGTTGAGAATATTGATGCGCAATTAATATTTCAACAAAAATGCGCTTTGGGTCTCGTCAATATCGGTGTCTATCTATATTAAGATATACAATATATATATGATATAAAGCAACTACAGGAGAATACCCATCTACTATTTATTTTTAATTTATGGCAGTATTTTCGAAAGTACTAAACTATAGTTACTGTCCCTCCCAACCCCTTATTATTCTAAAGTATATTTCCTATAGATTTGTAGTTCTCTAAATACATTTACTTAGTTGTAAGTACCGCTAGGTACTTATACATACTAATGTACATAAATAAGTTATAACATGAAAGTACTTCTTTATATTAGATATCATTCAGAATACGACTAAGACTTACATTTTATCCCTTTTTTAAATAGGTAATATGTAAAAACAAAACTTAAACATAAAGTTAGGTGACATTCCTTAGTCAATTTAGATAACTATTGCTTAATATATATATATTTAGATACGTTATGGCTGTACGTAGTAGGTAGCATTTTATTTTGATCAAAATAAAACTCGATCGTTGTCCCTTTACTCTTTTTTTGCATCGTTGCATTGCACCTATATTGCTGTAGATGCGATTAAATAGATTCAAAACAGTAAGGTATTTCTGCAAAATTTATAGTTAAATTGCCTGTAAAATTTATCTATATATCTGTACCTCTATGTATAACCTACCCATGTATAATACAATTTTTATTTTGATTTTTATGTATATAATTCAACAAACATTTGATTTGTGTTCACTGTGAGTTATATAGACTATGTGAATATTTTTTCTTTTACCTACGTATATAGTAAGAAAGCTACAAAACGCGCTACGGTGCTAATAGAAAATATTGACAGCATTTTTTTCTGTTTAACTCTCAGTAATACTAATCGTATTTTATCTAAATAATAATATTAGAAATAAATGTACAGCTATATCAAAATAAAACACACTAATCATAAATGTACATGTCAGTCATATTAATAAAATATTGAACACAGTTTACTTAACGCGCACTACTGTTTAATTTCTGATGTGGTCACGAATCCACTGTAGGTACTGATATACATTGGTGTAAAGTGACGGCACAGATGTACCACATGGCGAGTCAGCTCTCTTACCACTAACAACACCGGCTACAAAGTACTTTCCTTCGTAAACCATCATTAGTGGACCTCCGGAATCCCCTTTGCACGTATCTTCGCCAGAATGTCCCGCCGCGCAGACTTGCATTTTCGACAAATGTGGATAATACCTCTGACATTGTCTTTGTGTTACGAGGTTCACAAATGTATATTGCTTGATGTCGGATTTGTATTTACCATTGCGACCCCAGCCAGCGATCGCTAGTCGTAAATTGAAGAAATCTGGGTCGTCAATATTGATAGGTGGTAAGCAGATAGGTCGGATATAATCTAAAAAAGAAATTAAATTACAACAGAATAGCGAAGGAAATAGAAGAAATGTGTTATTTAAATTTCGCACTCATCAGGAAGTAATGTTATCTACATTTGTTGTTTACAATGTTACAATGTTATTTAGATTATACCTGTGTAAGGAGCGGATCCACGGAGCCGTATTAATGCTATGTCATTTTCGAGCCTATTGTTGTCGTAATTTCGATGTGGAGTTACTTCTTCAGCGTGCAACACTATATTTTCTATACATTTCTGACCTTCGCCGAATACAATTTTACAGTCTCTTGGGAATGTTCTTTTATCAAACTCGGCTAAGTATATTTCGACACTGAAAAATAGAGTTGCAGTTAGAAGATTAAATAAATATTTAATTCTAAGAGGATTCAAGGGCCATCCTTAGGCTGCTAGTTAATATTTTTATTTGAAGATGAAGTATTGAGATCCATTTACTACTACTTGTTACAAGTATTGTAGTCCCACAATTGACTGAAGTCCCTTTTGGAAACTATTGTATAACCTGCTAAGACCATGGTTCTTAGTAAGTGCACAGATAATATAATATTATATAGTAGGTAAATGGATCTCATCCCTTCATCTTTAAACGATAATTCGTAGAAAGATTAAGCGATGAGACGAGTACGCAATAAAATCAAGTTAATGAACACTTCTGACAGCCATTACAAGTAAGTAATATAAAACTTGTAAATTAATTAAAGTTTTTATTTCTAGTTTATCATAAAGTATAATAAATTACAACTACAAAACTAAACATATTTTAATAGTATTTGAATCACATTAGCATACAATACGATTGTTAGGCAAATCATTAGGTTAGGTATAGTAATAAAGAAAAGCTAATTACTCTTGAACTGTGGCTCCTTCGTCAACGACACAATGTGCAGCTGTTAACACATAACGGGAACTGATAAGTGAGCCCCCGCAGCTGAAAGCGGCTATATTTGTTCCATAGTCGAATGTAGTTTTCAGTAAAACTGTCCACGGAAATTGTTCTAATTCTGTTTCTTTACCACCTGTATAAGATATTAATTGGATATAAGTAGGTATATCTATACAACTATAATAAAACGTACATGCATTAATTCCGATTTGGTACAAATTTTATATAAAATAAAAAAACTAACGAACTATCTAAAAACTCAGAAGCTACTTCTTTTTAAAGTAGGCTTTAAATTAAACACTTAGTTTAAGTAACACGCATATATAATAAATACTGATTATTTTGCCATACACACATACACAAAAACCTACATGACCAAAAAATATATTTGTACCCAATTGTCAATTTAGTAACCCATATGATAACCAAAAAATAATAATTCTCTCAACCTGCTATACGGTTGTCTATAGTGATATTAACTTTTTCTGATTCTGCGGCGCGTTTTTGTCTATTATAATTTCTATAGTCATCCATTGGAGATTTTCGCTGCCACGAGGGTAAATCTGCTCTAGGATATATCCGGCCATTACGAGAGTTCCAGCCGTTTTGATTAAAATATGCTGATGGTGCTAAAAAGGTGAACAAGCATTAACATAATTTGTGCGTTACTGTGCAATGGTGCAGTTAAGTTACAAACTTGAATCTTCTAAAGAAATGAATTTGTTGTATTATGCTATAATTTTAGAAAAACCATTTATGTTTTAAAACTATTTTAGTTAATAAAGCATACAACTATAACAAAGAAATTAATAGGGTCTTAGATAAATGAACGATAAAATAGAGAATGATTACTTGAAAGTGAATATTTTCAGCCAGCACATAAACTCAGAATTATTTAAAGTAAAAGCTATATTTCAAAACATACCAGTAATTCTATCATCGTCGGAAGCCTCTAGTCCACAGCATCCAATTCGAGCATCGGGGGGTAAACTCGTAACAGGACACTGACCTTTTATATTACGTGACCCAAAAGGATTACCATTCATATTGTTATTTCTATTCACACTTTGGAAATAAGGATTCTGATTTTGTGCATCAAAACCTTGTCTTATAGGGTTTGACATTGGGTTTCGATTATTGTATTGCCGGCCATTAGGGTACTGATTAGAATTATCATAAGGATTCATAAAGAAATTGTCGTACATATTACCCCTATCGAAATATTTACTATTTTTAATGTCTGCATTTGTATTCAGGTTTTTATTATTTGAAAATGTACTGGGTAAATTTCCAATGTTAACATCTTGTGTACTATGTTCATTAGTATTTGATGAATTATAATCATGCTGGTTTTTTTTACTTAAATTGTTTTTGTCATTATCTAATGAATCTTGCGGCGTATCCGTCCCCCAAATTGAATTTGGACAACAAACCTGAAATAAAAAATATAGAACATACTGATATCTCTATTTGTCAAATATTTTTTATCTGAGTAAAACAATAGCAGATGATATGATGGTATTTAAATTATTATCATTTCATTACATAGTATAAAGTCGCTGTCGCTGTCCGTCCCTATGTATGCTTAAATTTTTAAAACTCCGCAACGGATTATGAAGCGGTTTTTTTTAATAGATGTTGTGATTTTAGAGAAAGGTTTATTATACGAATATAATACATGTACACCCGTACAAAGCCGGAACGAGTAGCTAGTTTAATATAAATACATTGTTATGAGTAATGATTAAAATATAAAGTGTAGAATAATTTGACTAAGTAATTAAAAAGTTTTCATATTAGTTTTATAAATGTTTCTTGATTCTATGCCGTAATATTTATTCGTAATATATCCTGTAGGAGTAGGAGATACTTATTATGGCGAAAACTACTGTATAAAATCTGTTTCTAGTGGAGTATATTTGGTTATAACGAATGGAACAAAATACTGCATTGATTGTTTATTTATGCCATCAATTTGTCACTTCGTAGTTATTATCGTTGCAGCGAAATAATGAAATGACACGTTTATTTTGTGATAAATTACTTCATTGTATACTGATAATGAAATTAACTTCCCATAAAACTGTATTTCGACCACTAGGATGGCGTTCCAATAATAGTTTATTAACAAGTTATTTACTAAATTAATAGGTACTATTTGTGGTTTATTACGTATGTAATTTGTTATCTGGGTTTGCTGTAATTATGGTGACGGTTTGATATGTTGTTTACTTGAGAAACTTTAAATTATATCTACGTAAAATTTAATAAGTTTCAATTTATTGATAAGATAGGAGATTATACAATAACCTCCAAAATTTTATAATATTTTTTTGAGCTATTTATATGTAGATGTATGTTTACCTATAACGTAATTAATATACCCAGGTAGGTCATGTCGTTAAGATACCACAAACCCGCATGAAATGGTTCGCTTCATTATTCTAAATGCGAATTTTCGGGAATTAAATTTCTATTTCTGTAATTCCAGAATAAAATGGGAGAATGGCGAATGTGTGATATGAGGTAAACGTCCTCTATCTTAGATTTTATCATATTGTGAGATAAGATCAAGAACATTTCCGTTATACAAAAACTGTAGAGTACACTGTTTTAAATTGAGATCGACAGTTAAGAAAAAACACGGTATCTTATCACGATTTAATTATTTTTATTGAGTTTTCGATATTTCGACAGTGTTTCAACCGCTAAGATCACGGGTAAACTGATTAACAGCGGGTAGATGATAAATAAAATCTTTTATACGCAGAAATATTCGTTTACCTTTACACGTCTTTGTTTGTGAATGTCCATTGAAACTCGATAAAAACAAAAATCGTCCTCAGAAAGTGTATTTAGTAAATAAACTGTCAAGGCTGGTGCTTAATTTCAAAAGCTACACTAATTAATAAGGTGTATCTCAACGCATATGGATCGAAATTCTTCCCTAAAATAAATCGGTAGATATAATAAACTCAATAAAATTTACATAGAATCGTTGATCAACCATTGCCTATTAAGCATTCATATACGTATGAATATATGCTTCCATAATTTGCATTAAAATAATTTTACCAGATCTCCTTTCGCTGATGACGAGAATCCAAATAGAGGGCCTGGTTTATTACTGTGTGATGATTGACAGCTAGATTCATATCTTTCCACCCATTCTTCTTTCTCCTTATTATTCAATTGACCATAAAAAGCACAATTTTGTGCAGGTACACATTCTTCACACGGTTCTGTAATCATATGCTAGTTGTTAGTTATGTTCATAGATAATAATAATTATATCCCTAGACAAATCAGCGCCGAAGCTAATCACAGAGGTTGTGTTATGGATACTAAACAACTGAGGATACTTGGACATTTTAAATTAAATAATACACTATGTATTTTATGCGCATGATATACATAGAATACACCCAGACCAATTCAAACAATCATACTTATGGATACAAATGTTTTATGAGTGTCGTGGCTCCGTGGAGTTCTTACATATAATACTAATGTGAGAATTCTGTAATGCTGGTAGACTGGAAATACGGTTTTTTGGAAGAAATAGGATTTTATTACATACTTATTAGCAACGTAAATTAGTAACCGAACAGAAAACGTACAGCATATGTCTACAAATACCTTTTCATCTGGTGCATAGTGAGCAAACCTCAAAGCCGTAAGAGAGCGAGTTCGAATCTAGACGGTATCATATAACATATTTATATTATTAGTTGAACCAATAAAAGACAAAAGGTAAAAAACGAATAAACTCAAATCTATAATATTATTAGGGCTGGCAGAATTATATTTATATTACTTGAATATAATAAAAGATTTGATAAAGATATACTTGTATGATACGATATAATACTTGATGTAGTTAGTGGGTTACTTATATCTTATTATAAGCGAAATTCAATACTGTCAATATTTATTTTTCTGTAGTGTATGATCTCTGACCTTGTTTCTGTAGTTCACCGATCTAATTTATTTACAAGTTTCTGCTGGATGTTACAATACGAGGATTGTACAACAATAAAGTCTAGCAAAGCGGGAATATATAAATAACTATAGAAAAAATACCTAAATAGTTCTGAAAATTGAGAACAATTTCTATTTTTCTAGACACGTAGCATATGCGACCACAGTCTAATGGGTTTGTTAATCTTTAGCACTTGAATATCGTAGCGGAACGCTGTTAGCTCAAGCAAAGCTTACCTAGACTGTTTAACATGAAAATTAGAATATGGCAAACTGTGTTAATGTTTTAGATTCTAACATTACTGAAATATCCACATTTATATAAATATATATAACATTTGTTTTTGATTGTTGAGTTTATTCAAGATAAATTTGCTACGATATGACTCATGCATGTGTAATAGTGTACAGTGAACCAGTGAGGTTCACTGTACACTATTACACATATATATCCATTAAAAATAAATTGTAATATTTATGTACCTGTTTTCATAAAATAAAATAATTAATTAATTGATAAAATAATATATAAATCATGAAACTGATGGAAAAATTATAACAAAATTCAAACAAAATGTGTTATTGATTTGAATGCCTCGTCATAAATATTATCTAAATGTCAACACATCATTTATACAAGGGTAGGATAGATAATTATGAAAATAACTAACCTTTAGGTACGCCATTTACAGACAATAAGTTTAATGTTAGTAGGGTACAAATCCAAAAGCACACCATATTCCTAATTTAAATATCACAAAGTTACACAACAGATGACAATTATTTGTCATCGCACCCCAACGACGGCCAACAACTGAGTTATTGTAAGAGAGCCGTCTTAATTATCTATAATCTCGTTTGTGGGTATTTGCCACTAATTATATGCTTTACCTACCTGATGTTGATTGGTCCATTTAATTTGATGACATGCGATTATAGCATTTACTACCGATCGGTATGAAAATCATATCGACGAAAAAATAAATGAATGCGTCAATGGAAAAAAATGCATCGGTTGACATCTATTAGGAAACGAAGACACTTGTCTCTGATAGTTACATTTTCCCTTTTAATAAATGAATCATCAACAAAATATTAATCATTATGACAGAGTAATTTTAACTGAATATTGTATTCTATTTTTGTGGATGTTACCATATACATATTTAATATTAGCAGATTTCGCCTATTCTTTTTAGACAGATAAGTCCCATATATTACATAATTTTAAGGTCGGATGTTCTGTCTTAATTGGTAAAATCGATTATCGAACTGTAAAACTATCCTTATTATTTAATTTTGACATTGACTTTGTAGTCAATTATCAAATATTAGTCTTCATGATTAGCAAACCAACGCACCGCTGGCATTATAATTTATCTATTTATGTTTAATTTGTTTAATATTAATATTGGTAATGGTTACCACTTGCTATCAGATGATAACCCAATTATAAGCATGTTGAATGGTCATTTTTTATTTTATCACCATTTTTACAAGATACTTCAATACATTTCATTCAGAAAAACGGACAAGAATATGAGCCCAACTGCATTTTGATAAATAAATCATATTTGTTTATTACCATTCGTAACTCCATTTAAAAGGTAGATATTACGATAATGAATAAACTCGTAATACTTGTAATTATCTATAATCAACCAATTACATATACCTAATCCCTCATTATGCATTGTTCATACTGCATTCCTCAAACCTAATTAGATTGTTTACACACACAATTACAACAAAAACGACTTCAACTGCAGGTACTATGTACGTACTTTTCAATGCAATGCTGCAAATCTCAGGAATTTGCAAAGTGAATTCAATAGTAGCAGTAATTGGTTGCTCGAATGTAAAAACGAAAACGGAATGACGCACGCAGTAACAGACCCCGTCGGAAAATCAATTAGCTGGGTAACATCGACTCTTTACGATAAACACACATTACACACAGAATCAAAAAGCCCATACTCGGCGCAGAACTCGAATATGAGGTCCCCTCATGCCCTCTCATCGTGTGGACGTTTCGTTAATGCAATTGTCAATTACCGTTCTCTGTCTACGTTGTTATTTGTACTGTAATGAATTTAGTTTAAGAGTTGAAAGGGACGATAAGAAATGTCAACTTCCAATGCAAAGTTACATGTTACAGATTTTTAATTTTTGCATAATGCATACCTGCATAATGCATCGAGTAAGCCCATTTTTAAAAAGAAATTATTTATTTTTCTCTTGAGTCACAATGTGTTATAACTGTATTGCACTGTATTAGTGTTATATTTATCTATATTTAGCATTAATGTATGACATTATATAATATCAGATATACTACATATATATATTATTATATGTTTATATTTATTTGCATTTCATGTATATTATATAATATTTATTAGTAACCTTGTGATCGTTTTTTGACATAACTGCCCCACAACGGTTTCTGTATACCTAAAGGTTAGCTGGTGGAGAATGCCATACGGCATTAAGCGCGCCTTTGTAAAAGTTATATTGTGCATAAAAGAATAAATAAAAAAATCAATAAATTATTTTCATGCAATTGCATTAATTTCCTATTTAATTACTTTAACCTATGTTAGAATTGTATAGTGTGTATGTAATAACCTACAAAATATTTGAATCGAATTGTAACCATTTACTTGTCAATCTGAAAATTTGTTATGTAAAGTTACAAAATTCACTTAACATTAGGGACTTTGTAACCCTTTTGTTTAAACGGGACTTGCAGCCAATTTAATTTACTTTTTAAGCGCTTGGCTGCGTTCCAGTATCAACGGTAGGTATTATAAAATGTGAAGTAATTAAACGAAATAACTATCGTCCCAAGATGTATCTTAAGTAGATAGACCAGCGAAATGTTCTTAATGAATAATGAACTGACTAGTTTCTGTTTTTCAGCGAAAATGTATTTCATTTAAAAGGTAGGTACAGGTGTAGGTTGAAAATCTTAAATACAAATGTATAAATTTTTGACCAGACAACTTTGTATTGAAATAGGTATTACGAACATGGTACTACATATTATTCCAGATAGTACAAATGTTTGAGTAAGAAAACCAAGGGAAACATAAAATGAAATGGAAGAGCATTCGCTGTGTTGCACTTAGCTGCTTGTCGTATTCGAGAAAAGACTTCCCCTAAAATGTCAATGAAAAACAAAGTAAGATGATAAGATTGCAGTGAATAGATCGGATTCTTTGTTCATTGACAGTAAAAATTGTGAATACTTTTTGTAGATGTAGGTTACGAATTTCCGTATCCGTAACTTAATATTTATTAAGTTTATGTTTATGAATGTTATATACCTATAACATCTATATCAATTTTTTCATAAAAATCAACACAAATCTTTATAGTACCAATAATATAATTCATATACAAATACCTAACTTTGTTTAATTTCTAGGTACAGGTTTTCCGTTTTCGCTATTTGACACGGATGACAAATTTATTTATTGTAACTCAAATATAATCGGAGGTAAGGATTACAGAGAATATGGAGCCCCATTTTCCGGGTGCACTTCCGAGGTTTAAGAATTTATGTATGAACTATTGTGGACTCTACTATGTACATTCTTACGTAGGTATTGAAACGCTCCTTTACTACTAATATATTCATATTTGTCGCGGTTTAAGTAAATATTGTCTAGAATTAATGAGAGTTTGTCACAAATAAAGTTTGAACAGATGTTTTAATGCGAATAAGATCGAAGATATAACCGTCTTTAGAAGTTCAACTAAGGATATTGTTTATATATCTATTTGTTTATAAGTAGATTATGTAATTGTTACCTAATGTACTGTATTAGATTGAACCTATTTATTTTCTTTTTCCCTTTGAAATGAATTGAATGTGAATTTCATCCCATATTAAGGGTTTAGATACTTTATACATATTCTTATATCTATAGAAATTCTAAGCCATTATCTATTCATTTATCCATTTATTAATAACCATTTATCTATCCATCTAGTTTTGGTTAGACGTACATCAATTAGTAATTAGTTTTTCATTAATATATACTTGTTGAAAGTGTTAAATATATATGAAATGTTTTGAAAAATCCACAAAACCGCAAATTCTTAGAAGCTTTTCTACAAGTCTCGAAAGTTTGAAATCCCAAACAAATATCTGGTTTCAATTTACTCCCAATTAACTCCAGGTTACTTTCACTCGTCAAGTGGCACTTAGTCGGGATGAGTTGCTTGTAGTGGGTTACGATAGGATGGGTCTTAATTTACAGGATAGAATAGTTTTATTCGATTAGGGAGGCCGTAAAGAAAGGGTATTATGTAGGTTTATACTTGTGTGTTTACTATGTATGGGTGTATCTTGAAATTATAGCTTTACTTTAGATAGCGTGTAGGTACTTTATATGTACTTTGTACTTGACGGCCTTAGTAGTCTAGAAATTTGGCACGTCTTACATCAAAAGGTCGCGGGTTTGATTCCTTTCACGATTCAAACATTTGTGGTTACAAGTATTTCTATTAGTATGACTGTTGTCTATGCATATTATGTTTACTTTTAAGAAAAAATAAATTCTTATTGCTTGTCTAGCAACCATAACACAAGTTCTGCTTAACTTAGTGATATCGGTTTGATCTTGGTCTGTTGGCGCTATGTGAATTGTCCAGGGTTTTATTGTAATATTATTATTATTACGTTTTAGCATTTTTTATTTCTATACGTAGGTACTATCTTACATAATAGAAAAGATTGACTTTTAGTATGTTTATTTGTAACTATACAAAAATACAAAATACTTGACTGACTACAAAAATTATTTTACCCGTAGAAGCAAAATGGAAGACGAAATTATGCAGCTAGCATTATCAGCGAGTAATCTAGGTTATATTCCACGCAAACAGCGCAGCGGGATTTGGTTAGTATTAATATTTTTATAGTATTACTTTCTTTGTATCAAAGTACAATTCTGTATGTTGACACAATATAAGAAACTTAATAAATGATGTACGCGGTCCTCACTGCACATGTCGAAACATCGATCATAGTTCTTAATCGCGCTGAAACATGGGGTGGCACCCTAGTTCCTAATGTTAATCCAACTATTCCGCGTATACGCATTACTCTTGCTATTTCATCTTCGAATTACACTTGTTCTGATGTTGATATGAACAACAAACAAGATTAGTCTTCATTTAGCTACGCTTATTTTCTATAATACTACAGGGATACGGCGTTAGTATAAGGCAGGTACCATACTTATGAAACTCAACCACTTGCACTAAGAAACACAGTGGAAATACGAATAAACGTTTCGTACCTCTCACACTGCATTTATCAAGTGACTGCGCAGTTTGTTGAGTTTTGCGCTGGATAGATGATAAGGGGGTTCAATTTAATAATAGATAAATAATACAATATATATGCTAATATGTACACGTACGAATATCTTACTTCTTACTAATATTAAAAACGCAAAAGTTTGTGAGTAAGTAGTAGATGGATGAACGGATGTTTGTTTCTATTTCACGCAAAAACTACTGAATGGATTTCAATGAAATTTTACAATAATATATAGAGGTACATCAAAATAATACATAGGGTATAAATTCCACACAAGTGAAAACGCGGGCACAGCTAGTTTCCATATAAATATTTCATGCATTCTATTTATTCATCATGGACTTATTTTGCGAGTGTAAAAAAAACATAAATGTAAATCTATAAGCTTAACTGCATAATGAAG